TATACTGAACTGAATAAAGAATAATAACTTTATATTGGCTCATACTAATACTGATAGATTATGTCAGATTAGGAGAAGTGTATTCTTCAAGTGTCTCTCTTGGAGAGACACTTGATATGGAATTTTTAATGGGCCACTAAACCTGTCATTTTACGTTGAATGGAACGTCTCAACTCAGTAAGCATGTCTGAGATTTGTAAAAGTTGTTTTTACAAAGAAGATTCGGGTGAACAGCAGTGCTTATTCAAAAACAATCCTTGCATCAATTTGAATCACAATCATTATTTGTCGCTTAATCCCTTTTAATGACTTTGTTTTCTTTCTCGTTTGCAAGGGGAGAAGAAGATATTTCACAGACATCATAAAGATCAGTGTTGTATGCGTATATAATACACAGGCCCCGCGGAACGTTTATCAAAGTGGGGGGCTAAAGTATTTACGATCAGGTAGAGGGTAGTGAGCGTAAATTGGTGGGGGGGGGGGGGGGGGTTCAGGGGTTGTAGGCATTTAATTACGGTCAGAGAAGCACAAATATTTTGATGCCGCATCTGTGTCACTGGCAGGTAAGGGGGGCGTTTTTATTTTATTTCTTAAGGTAAAATGTACGTTACTATCCTATTTTTACCGGTTTGGGCGGCTAGGAGGGGGGGGGGGGGGGGGCGGGCCGGTAGAATCGGCTCGTGGATCCGCGCCTGTCCAAGATAGCACACACACAAAATCGCCTCGCCGCTACGCGGCTCAGTAAAGAAAGAATGTAAATGTTGCTCCCAATAATGAGGAGGAAATAATGTGCAGAACGGAAAGAAATCGAGAGAATGTCATCACGGAGTGAGAGTCAGTAACAGCTATGTAGCTTGTAAATTTGTAAGAGGGAAAATGCTGATTAAAATGATAATGATGAAATAGCAAACAATTGAGGAGTATCATAGGTACCAATTCAATGAATATTTGTATAAAAAAGAACCCCCGTCAGTACTAAAAGAGCCCCCGTGAGAAGGCTCACGGGGGCTCTTTTTTGGGGGGAAGAGCCCCCGTGGATAAAAAAATTATTTGAGCCCTGCTTTCTTTCCATTTCTCTTTATATACTATTTCAAAAAAAAGTGGAGGGGTGGGGGGGGACCTCAATGCTCCCGATCCCCGCCGTTTCGCGGGCCCTGACGTATAGGCCCCTAGGCATCTCAAGAAGCATATTTCTTGCCTGGCTAAAACTTTAGGAGTTTGTCATTTGTCTCTTTTAGGTTTTCTATCTCCCCTTCTTTTCACCCTTTGTTTTCTTCTTCCTCTCTTTTGGTCCCTTTTAGCTCTCCTTTTTTCATTTTCCTTCCTTCTCTCTCTTTTTTTTTAGCGGGGGCGGGGAGAGGCAAAGGCCTTTTGCCCCACCCCCATCCCGATCCGCAACTTGTTGGCGGGAAAATTGCAACTGATATCCCCCTTCTTTTATTTACTTCTTTCTCAATTTTCCTTCCCTTTATTTCCTCTTTAGTGACTGGTCCCTCAGAAACTAGTGCTAAGCCAGTCACAGAGAATTCATGATTTCAACTGATGCCTGTCAGTGCATTGTAAATTTGATTTTTCTTCAAATTTCATTTAAAAATCTTTTCATATTGATAAATATGGTGCATTGGCGTATGGGCTATGGTTGGAGCGTTGGATGCGTTGAACAGCGTTGGTGTATTATGTGGATTTATCATATTCATATTCTGAATATTTTCAGCGAATTGAATAATATTGAAAAGGATGCAATTCATAGTTGTACTTGATAATTCTCATTTAACATATTTTCTCTCTCTCTCTTCCTGTCTTGCATAAAGAAAATATGAAAATAATATTTTACCTTGATTAAGAAAAAATTAAAATTTTATCAGTATTAAACAGGGAGAAGGAAAGGGGAGGAAATTAATCAAAACAAACATTGACGAATCCAATTCAGTGTTCTTTCGTGATGCATAAGAATGAAAGTACATTAAAAGGTGAAATAATAAATTGAAGAGCGATGATAAATCAATTCTTTGACGTTGATTGATTGAATAAAAAATAATGAAACAATATGGTCTGAAGGTCACATATCTTCGAATATTAGAAAGTTTCATCCACCATCGTGTTGTTAAACACTATTTGCAATTTAATTTTAATGCGGTGACTTGTCGGTTACGAGCAGAAGGTCATTTCAGGCTTCTATATTCTATAATACTATCAACAGATATCTGGATAGAGACACCTCGTCACATCAAGCTACGAGAAAGTATATCATCATCTCACAGAATTCTACTCGAACACCGCATCGAAATTCTTTTCACCCTTTTTTTTTCTTCTTCCTCTTTTTTGGTCCCTTTTAGCTCTCCGTTTTTTCTTTTCCTTCCTTCTCTCTCTTTTTTTTTAGCGGGGGGCGGGGGAGGCAAGGCCCTTTCGCACCCCCCTCCCCCGATCTCCTTCTCCCCCTTTTCTTTTCTTCTTCCTCTTCTTTCTTTCCCTTTCTCTCCTCTTTCCCCTTCCCTTCTTTTCCTTCTCTCTCTCTCTCTCTTTTGCGGAAGGGGGGGGGGGGGGAGGCCCGCTCACCCCCGCTGGATCCGCGCCTGCATCTACATTATAATTATCTACTACCGTTAGACCCTAATAATGGATCTAGAAGATTGATTGAACTGGTCTCAATGACGGGTAAACTTTTTTTCCTTCTCAATTACTTGGTCTAGAACCATGAAAACCGTCTAATTTTACTTTAGATTTTCAAACAGTAACAGTTACGACCTAAATTAGGCCTAAAGCCAAGGGCTGTACTCTACATTTTAATAATACATTTAACGTTAACGTTAGACTTAACTTAAACTGTTGTTTCTCTGTGATACAAGTGGGATGGGAACACTTTTTTTTCAACAGCAAAAAAAAAAATCTTTCCCCTTTTTTTTGTCCTTCTTTTTCTTGTCCTTCTTTTTTTCCCCCCTGGATCCGCCACTGATCACGGGGATAAAAGTATACAGCTATGTAACAAGTAGATTTCTAAGAGGGAAAATGCCGACTTAAATAAATTATAATGATAAAATACCAAGGAATTTAGGAGTTTCATGGGTACCAATGCAATTGAAATTTGTATTAAAATAAGAGCCCCCGTCAGCACTAAAAGAGCCCCTGTGAGAAGGCTCACAGGGCTCTTTTTGGGGGGAAGAGCCCCCGTGGACAAAAAATTAATTTGAGCCCTGATTACATACCAAAGTCTTGACTTATTCTCTCTCCCTCTCTCTCTCTCTCTCTCTCTCTCTCTCTCTCTATATATATATATTTATATATATAATCACACACACACACACACCCTCACACATGCATAAATATATATACACACCATATACATATTTAATACATATTTAATACATTAGCATGTTATAAAACATTGAAGTATCAAATACAGAATAGAAGATATAGTTAATACAGACTTCTTTAACTTTTGGGGGGTTATAGAATCTGGATGTATTAATGTTCTTGACGTGTTTAAAAAAATTATACAAATTACATGACCCTAATTGTACAAGTCTGATGAAGTATTGTTCATAGATGTGCATTTTAAGATGTCAGATGGCATTAATAAAAGATTCTATCAACAAATCAATGTTGTCAAAAAATATTTTAGGGTTTGCTTTACCCTAATCTGAAAATGAAATATAATAATAATAATAATAATAGTCACATTTGTTTCACCCTCAATACTACATATCTAAGTGCTTTACATTGTAATTATTATTACCCTGGTCATTTGGTAATACGCACACGATAGTGCACACACTCCTAGTAAACAGAGTTGTCAACAAATATTACCCTAATCTGCAAATGAATAAAATGATAATACATTATGTATCAAGTACCAGACTGTTGGGAAACTAAAATAAACCTCCTGTGAAAAATACCCAATTTTGACATCACTAATTTTAAAATTATTATCTTTCACTTTAGCTCGACCTGTCTGGAGTAAATAACACCACTTGGCAATCTATTCTGCTTAACAAAGTATTAAAAAAAAAATCATTATATGATCAATATTACTATTATCATTATTTTTATCATCATTATCATTATGATCATTATTTTTACTTTTCTTTTTTAAGCATACAATATAAGTTATAATATTAATAAGCTAGTACCAATATATTTGATAATGTTAGTTTGTTTTTGTAAGTATTACTTTAAAACTGCCAGAGTTAAACATTCACAAATGATATTCTTAATAGAACTAGCTTGTTTCAGATACGTGTATTGTACATGTATATCGGGTCTTGTAATATTTTTAAAACTAATTTGAATAGTAAAGAAAAAGAGAATGGAATGTACGCGTATGAAGTCTAGTTCAACGCTGTCAAAATGCCTGAAGACTTGTAGCCTCCAGGCTAGAAAGTGATACTTTTTGCCTCTTTCCTTAATCAATTAATTTATGGTACAAAAATACCGCTTTGTTAACCTATATCAGTTTCACCACTGATAGATAAGAGCATCAAGCTTAAGGCAACTAAAATAAAAAAAAGTTGTGTTTGCATGAAACTCAAAAAATTAAATACACCTTTGATATTCAAATTGATCACCTATTTGGGCTGAATTATTTGAGTTGCATTTAAAGATGAAGTTGAGTTCTGGTCATGCAATTGCATTGTGAAAGAAACGGTGTGGAATCGACCAGAAAAGGTTGATCATATCTAGCATATAAGAATTTGTGTGTATTGCAAGGTTCTGGAATCATCAAAATGATAAGAAATTTGGCCAAGTCTTGGTAAAGTTACAAACACTGTACACAGAAAGATGTATATGGGACTACACGAACACGTGGCGTAAAAAAATCCTACCCTGGATTTTTACGATGTTACATGACATATTTAGAATATAAAGGCATTTGAAGAGCCATGCTTTTCAGGGAACATGTCTTATCTGATGTTCTTCCATACTTGCATAATAAGAATGATAACGCTCACAAATTATTTTTCACCTCTTCCCAGAACTCAACCTTCTCTTTAAACAATTTTTTTTCAAGCAGCGACCTTTGAAGTCAGTCAGTTGACACGACTCTCCTTTTGAGACACACTCTCAGAGCATCATGGCTGATCATTACAGATGACTCTGTACAATGGTGACCTTGTTCGGAGAACCGTTGACCTTCTGTAATAATTGCTCTACATGATCATGACATGAGGAAATATATAAAATTGTCTCTTTGCAATATATATATTTTTCATTTCAGTCCTGAATCTTTAAGATATTCTTCTTTTCAAGATCTTCCATCTCCTTCATCAATGATGCTACATTGTATCTGAGCTCATGGAACTTTGAAACTGGAATCTGTAAGACACAAAAGATAATTTTGTATAAAAGAAATTTATATATATATATCTTTCATTAAAAAAATGTACATGTCTGAAGAGGTATCTAATGTGTTTAAATTAACATATGATATTAAATTCCTCATCACAATAATCATTCTATACACATTAATACATATCATCTTTCCTGAAAAAGCATTAAAATTGTTACTCCAGATAACTACAGACAAATATCATTATACAAACACTGCCCTACCTTTGTGATAATTAAATTGATATATGGCAGAGACAGGAAAATAGTTCCATGTGATAAAGATGGGTCTTTATTTATGAAATCCCCTCCAATTCAAATCCAAGCCCAAGATTCTTCTGAATGAAGATGCAGCATAGCAGTCCCAGATGTAAATAAGCATTGATTAATACCTATGTCTTAACTAATACCTAACTACAATATCTCTCATACAACAGTTAGATAATGTGAATTATTATTCTTTATGGTGTCAAAAATTTCAGATTAATCCTGATCGATTTTCAAGTATTATGTTCATTAGACAATGTCTATTAGGAGCAATATGATATACTGGTACGGTACGATACATCACTCACAACTTGATTCTGAATCTGTGTAATGTTTTTAACCCTTTTTCCTTTTTAAAAAATTCATTATTGTTTTTAATTTCATTATAAACTGCTCAATTATATATTATTATATTATTCATATATTTATTTATCATGCAGACTTGATAGTGTCTTTGACTGTGTACTTAATTTCTACCATTGTTATCTATCTGTTTGTATTTGTATTTGAAATCCAACCCAACTTTTGGTTGCAATAAAGAAATAATAATAAGAATAAGAATTAATGCCCTTTGGATCCCAGTATACAATAAGTTCTCACCTCAAATGAGTGTACTTTTCCATCGCTCAGGGTCATCTCTGCCATGATGGTGGGTTCTAATGACCTACTCAGTGCACTGTCAAGAGAGGGCGGCAAACATAGTATGATGATGACATTTGTTGACTCTATTTTCTATTCTGGCAGCAAAAATGTTAAAATAATCTGTTTCAAATTAGGCAGGAAGGCATGTCAAGAAATCCAGGTTTATCACATACTTTCTGTAATATTTTGTACTCTTTCTCCATTTCTGTTTTTTTTTTTTTACCCTGTTCATCTTCTCTCTTTCCTTTCATCTTTTCCATCTACTGCATTTGTTTCTTGGTACTTTTTATTTATTTATTTTTTTAATTATTCTTTTTAATTTTAAATTTTCACTTTGACATCCTTTTCTTGGCAAAACTCTTGTCTATATATTATGGACATCAATAATTGTTAAGGTATGTACGACAACAAATGAATGTATTTATGTACTATTTGAAAATTAGAATTACAAATACTATTTCTTCAATAACCCAGAATGCTATCTTATCATCTACAATCGAAATTTCTACATCTCCCATGGTATTATCTTCTTAATTCTGATTCCATCTAGGAAATTTAGAATTTGCCACTAGCAATTAAAAGAATAACTGTGCTAATAGTGGTAAGTGGTAATATTTATTGTATAATAGATTTTTTATTTCATTTTATACAAGAAAAGGCAAAATATTTACCTTGTTGATATAGCAACATCTACCCTCCATCTGAAGTTATCAAGCTTGGGGAATCTTACTCTGCCCTTCTCTAACGCATCATTAATGGCTGCTCTCCTGTCAAACAATCATATATACAGATTTGTGTTATTGGTCAAAACACAGATAAGATAATTGAGTCGTTACAAACGGCAGTAGAACTAGGAAGGATAGAGATAACACAATGGATCAACTGCTGGATACTTTACCACGCAAGTTAATGCTAATGCTAACCCTAACCATAGGGCCTAATGCATTGACTAGATACATGATGAGTATTCAGGAGTTATTAAACCTTACGAAAATTGAACAAGCATTTTTGATCCAAATTTCAAAAATGTTTTACTTTTTTGGAGCGATGACAGATAATACACTTTATACTACTGATCTGAAGAGTAGAAAAGAACTTTAAAAAAAAAAATTTTAGGCCGCCATCCTAGTCAAGCATCACTTATGATTGCGATTTCCTGCACTTTTTCAACAGATAGTTTAAGTTTGGATAATACTTTAAATTTATGATAATATGTTACAGAAATATTAAGTTTCGTTATTATATGTACATATGTAAAAAAAAAAAAAAAAAAAAAAAAATTTAACATGAAGAAATTATTGTTTGTATATGTTGGATTATACCTTACATTTTTATATTTCTTTTTTATTCAGTTATATTATATTTGGAAAAATGCAGATATAAAATCAAAAATCAAATCAAAAGACTTACTTTGGTCCATACACAGCACTTGCAAAGTCAGTAGCATATTCTGGTGGAATTCTGAAGAAAAAACAATACACAATAGATTATTAAACAGATTTAATTTTCTATTACTCTTTATCTACGTATTCACTTATCAAAATAAGAATTGTTGAATATGTGAAATTTCACAGAATCTTGGATTATGATAAAGGCAGTGGTAATTTGAATATATTAATTTCATTGCCAGATAAACAAAACACAAAGTCTCATCCACAAAAGTGTCAAAAATCATGCATTTTATGAATAAATTATAAAAAGGATGGAAAAAAAACAACATTAGCAATGCTTAAGGATCCCCGCTCATGTAAGACAATGTATTGGGAACTTTTCCTAACTAATTATTGAGACATAACTTAGGAATACTAGTCATTGTTGTTAAATAGTGGCTACTCATGCTTCCTATAAGCTCTTAATAAGCCTTTACATGGGAAGGTTTCTTTTTAATGATAAACAATGTTAACGAATATCTTCAGGAAACCTCAAGGTTTGCATAACAAATAAGATCTACTGGTAATGTCATCTGTAAACACTTACTTGAGTTCTGATAGGTCAGCTTTGAAGAGCTATCATAGATAACAGAAATAAAGGTGAGAAATCTTTAATCCTATTACATTTAAACAAAAATTATCATCCTTATTTCCTCTAAATCAATCAACTTTCAGTTTTCAAATTGCAAGAAAGACAAACAGAGAAAGAAAGAAAGACAAAGCAAAGAGATAAAGGGAGAAATCAAGAAGAAACCTATATGCATATGGTACCCAAATACAAAATGTCTGTTCTCTTCACCAAGTGTCAAAATGTTTGCACGCAAGCAAAAACTGAAGAGTTTACATTTAGGCAAAAGACTATCAGCCCCCTCCCCTTGCCTGTACACCTATGTTCAAAGTGTGTTATCAATTAAGTGAACAACTTCCTTCAGCATCAGCTACACTAAATAGTTGTTTTAACTTCTGCCTGCAACAAAGCATTTCACTTTACTAGAATTGTTTAAATATCAAAATATATTCCACCAATAATTATATAAAAACAAGCCCCATACCTCTTGTTTTAATGATGTCTGCGGAAGTCTGTATGCTGCACGTAGGAGCGTCAAGATCCCAGAGTAAACAATCGATAGCGCATCACTTGACTGGCCACACTCATTAGATAAGTTTGGAATAAAATCTTCATCGATGATGGCACCTTCAAACGAAGACACTGACGCTGCCAAAGGAAACAAAACAAAAGTTCTGTGACAATAACTCACAAGTACAACTTGAATCCAATGCTCAAGGAACAAGTCGGCCCTTTTACCCTCTGATATGTTGGACACGCTTGCTTTAGCTTTTTAATAGGTTGACTCTTTCTTCTTTTTTATTTATTTATTTTTGGTTAAAAATTGGTTAGCTAATGATAGGATTTGTACTTTTTAGCACATTGCATGAGGACACAGAGTCTCTTTTTGATGGCACAAAGTAGTCTGCGACAGGATCAGGTTCTCATAGTATAACAAGGTTCCTTAAACGGGCTCAGCCATGGTGATTTGTTCGAAGGGGGCGGGGCACGTGCTAGTCTTATTGCCCATTTGGGATTTGAGAACGGAATGCACAAAATAAAATTATGAAAGAAAAGGAGGAAAAAATCAGAAATACACATCCACAATAATTAATTGTCTATTTCATACCACATTCAAGAATGGAATATATAGATCTCTGATGTGTGCAGGGCTCGGTTTAACAAAAAGGACTAGATTCTAGAAAAGTCAAAAGGCCAGGGGCAGGGAATGACAAACACAAAATTGCACAAGTGGGGCTGATAAACAAGTTGGTCGACGATTACCTTTCAGAAGCTCTCTAAACGTTGATTTATCTGTACTCTTTAGTAGTTTCAGCATAGATTTGATCTCCTGTGGTACCTTTGCACCAACAAAAAGGGTTCTATCACCCGCAAAACCTCCAGGATTTCCAACAGAAGGGAGGGCCATTTCGATGCATTTATCAGGTGATCGCGTAGTCTTGTATCTGGAGTCCGTATCAGTTTTCGGGTCCTTAATCACTAACGGGGTTTTGACGGGGATGTGCCACCGAAGCCCCCAAACCACTTTTCACTTTTAAGGATTTTTTAAAAGCCGATATTTCAAAATTTTGAAGAAAAAAAAATATTATTGTGGTTTTATCACAACATTAAAATCTAAGCTCCTTGAGTCAGACTGATCTAGAATCAGCGATAGAACACACACACAAACATTGTTCCAGTGCTAATCACCCATTTCCGGATTCTCTGCTAGCCAGTCAGAATTAATTTTCCGGGGTCTGAAACGTCTATATTTCGTTGATACTAGGTAAGTTTGTTTTCATTTTTGCACTTAAATACTGTGTGTTAGTGAGATACCCTAAGTGTTTTATACGTTAGATAGATGTATGCTGTTCATGATGGCTTTTCAAGACGTTATATACCATCCGGAAAGATTTTGGGCTAGTGCGATATCCGAGTTGTTTTATGCGGACACCGCCCCTCGGCTCTGCTCTGGCGGAGAGTAGCCATGTACACAGTATTCTGACAGTCGGTCACGGACTCACGGTCAGGCCCATGACAGTGGCCAGTGGGCGGGGTGCGAGTACGAGTGGGGTTGGCTTGTTAAAATTGTAATTAAATAGGTCAGAATGTATTCCGTATAATGGCCCATCTTGTATTATATTTATAAATTATAGATATAGACTCTAGACCATATTTTGACAATAGTCTAGATCTAGTCTAGACTATATTTTCATTCTTCATGTTTAAAAAACTTTTACATTATTCTTTAGTTTAATCATGTTTTATTTTAAATTGTTTTCAGTTTAAATACTGAACCCTGACCCTGTACTTTTAATATTTTTTTAAAGGAAATTGAATTAGTTTTAATGTGTAAAATACTTTGTCACGTAATTTATATCACAAGTCTAGTACCAGATCAGATGGAGACTATTTTTATGATCTTGTATACTTGTTATGATATACATTTAGGTTTTATGTTAAACTCTTTAAATACAAAGTGCAACTCTTTAAATACAAAGTGCATTTTGGACAAAATAAACTCTTTTTGTATGCATGCATTCAAAAACATATCAATATGACTTTGGTAAAGGTATGGAGATCTCAAATTTCTCAACAAAAATATTAGAAAATTTATATTATGAGGTATTCAGGAATGAGGAAAGGAGATTGTTGATTGTTGGAAGAATAGGAAAACTATATTATGAATGTAAAGTTAAACAAAGAAATTGATGAATAGTGAGGAAATGACATCCTAAACTCATGACCAAGTGGCCAATTTGTCTAGATATTTCCTTTTCATGATATTAGAAATCAATGACTTTCTTATTAGTGAGAGTTCAAGTGTAACTTTCTTTCATAAAAATGTGTAAATGTTATGATGCCTTATTCAAAGTCCATTTCAGACCTTTCTTGTTTAGGTGTTAGTAATCTTTAAATTATTTGCTAGGTCAAGAAAAATACTCCAAGTACTTTTCATTTTAAGATCATGAAATTTACCTGACTGACCCTTCAAAGAAATACAGATATTTACATGATTGATAGATGTAGGAGCAGATCTATGATTTTTGGGGTAAGGGGTCACATTGAATATTTCTGACAATTAATTTGAAATAAAAAGAATAAAAAAAATTACCTCATAAGGAAGGGGGGCGGCGGCAATTGGAGTCGTTTGCTGGGGTTTCAAGAGGGGTAGGGGAAAGATGAAGGATGGATGTCTCAATCTGAATATGCCAGTGGATATATTGTAGATGGACTGAATTATTTAAGATTACATATTGATCTAAATAGCACGTTATAAGATCCGTATATCTTCTTGTATATATTCTGTTTCAGATTTGATACCGGCTTGATAACTTAGCTCTAATACCAGGATGAATAGGTTCAAGGTTTCAAAGTTCAAGAATGCATTCTGTGTAAATCCAAAGAGAGAGGTAAGAATTTCCATGCATGTATTCATAATTTGTCTTCAAAGATTTCTTGTAAATAAAGATTCATTGTTAGACAAATATCTGTAATAACTTTCCAGATGAGTTACATTTCATGATAAATGAGAATTGTAGACATAATAAGGGACTTGAAAGTTGTACTGATTGTGAAGATAACATCTTATACTTTTTCCATTCTTATTTACATGTAGTCGTCTTTTTCAAAATGCTTGTCAATTGCAGTTATTGCACAAATGATTTGAATAATTAGGCTTCATTTGTTTTCTAAAAACATGCTATGTATTCCTTTACATTAATTTGTACCTAGATTTAAAAAAAAAAATCAAATTATTGAATTGCATAAAATCCATTGATTTTGCTCATTTTGTCTTCTCTGCCTTTTTGCTTCCTGCCATTTTCCTCTCTTTCTGTATCTCTTCTATCCTGTCTGTCTCACCTTACTATTTCTCTCCCTCTCTCTCTCTCTCTCTCTCTCTCACCTCTCTTCTGTCTCTCTCACTTTCTTTGTATCTCTGTCATTTTCTGTACCTCTACCCCTTCTGTTTGTCTTTGTTACTTTCTAAATGCCTCTCTCATCTTTCTGCCCCCTTCTCTGCCCCCTTCTCTCCATGTACTTTCATCTTTCTATTCCTCTATCTCTCTCTCTGTATATATATATATATACATACATATCTATCTCTCTCTCTCTCTATCTTTCTCTCTCTCTTTCTCCTTTCTCCCTCCCTCCCTCCCTCCATCTTATTTCCATCTTTCCATTCCTATGTCTTTCCCTATCTCTCCCTCTCTCCCTCTCTTTCCCTCTCTCCCCCTCTCTCTCCCCCTCTCTCCCCCTCTCTCTCCCCCCTCTCTCTCACTCTCTCTCTCTCTCTCTCTCTCCATCACCTCCCCTCCCCCTCTTTCTCTCTCTTTCCCTCTCTCTCCGTTATCAGACCTGGATAACCGATGTTCGAACAGGATCCCCCTCATCATGCGGGAATCACATCAAAGCCAGTGGGGCATACATGGTGTACAACGCCGATCCTCCAAGTACGTCTAACAAACTCAAACTTGATTGTTGTTTTTTTTGTGCCAAAAGGGCATTGGATTCTCATTCAGACATGGCACTTTGTGTGCTGAATATTCATTCAACAGTCCAACAATTGTTATTACAAGAATTTATTTCAAACAAAACATTTACTTGCTTTAACATCACGTGTGTACAGTAATAGTGAAAGAAATGATGATCCCAAAGTTTTGTGATGATATTTTGAACATGATTTGATAGAGTTCAGTTACAAGAATTTTATTTGTTCAGGACAGATTGTTTTATATTTTAGATCAAAACACTAAAGTATGCTCTACCCACCCTTAAAAAAAAAAGACAATCAAGAGTACCAAATTTGTATCAAAACTCTTCTTAAAAAAAAAAAAAGTGAGCAACATTCACATTCAGTACCATATACACATACATTGCACACTGTTATTGTGTGCTATCTCTAGTTTTCTTATATAGGAACATGCCTTTTAGTTCGAGTGTAACTTTCACATGTTCATGTATAATGCCTGTGAATGTAATTTAATCTGAGTGATTCAAAGCAGGGGGAAAAGTTCACAATAAAAAAAAAAGCTTCTATCATATTTCTTTAGGCATTAGTTTTCACTTTCACTTCGCGGTTTCGGATCAAGTTTGTAATAGGATCCGTACATGCTTGCACACTGTGCTCCTTGTCTGTGCGAGCTGTGAGAACTTGTGAAACTGAAATTAATTGTAAAGAGAAATTAATGTATCATTTACAATAATGTTTTGCACTGTGTTTATACCCTGGGACAAACTTAACAGGAAACTTCATACATGTACATGTAACATGTGTACTAGGTATATGAAAGCACTGGTAGACAGTGATAGAAAATGTGTGAATCTTAGTATGGAAAATGTGTGCATATGACATTTATGAAAATATTGACATGTTAAAGACAAAATTGCACATGAAATTCTCTTTAAACTAGAGTAATAAAGATATGACAATGTTACTCTATTTTTTTTCTTTTATTCGTTTTATCAAATTTATTATGTGTACCTAAAGACTATAATAATAATCATAATATTTAGCTTTTATATAGCGCTTAATACAAATGTCTCTAAGCGCTTTACAGTATATTATTACCCCGCTCATTGGATTCAGTACTTGCCTGCACAAAATGTGTGCACATTCTCCACTCCCTGGGGAGCATTCCAGCCAGGCGCTACTTGACGCTCAAAAACTGTTTGACCAACAATGACGGTCGCATCCTACCTAATCCTAATGTTGAAGAAGCAGATGTGAATATTTGTGTGTTTGCTTTGTGTAAGTCACTTTGCCAGTAAAGCAAGAGGCAAGATGTCAAGAGAGAAAGAGAAAGAAAAAGAGAGGAAGAAAGGTGGGCAGACAAACTGAGAGAGAGAGAGAGAGAGAGGGGGGGGGGTAGATGTTTTGACAGACATGCAGACAGAGATGTAGGGAACAGTAAGAGTGAAAGGACGCAAAAGAAAAACATAATGCTGAAATACACAGAATTTGCTGCAATTATCAGAAATTCTATTGTTTTTCATTTTTGTACTTATTGTAAAAATTCCTATCTCTTTAGGTGGAGGTTGTATAGGACTGTTAGATGTGAATTCTGTTGGTCGTCAGTCGCAGAACTTGTACTTGCATCATGCGCATTCATCCCTCGTCACAGATTTAGACTTCTCTCCTTTCAACGATTATCTTCTGGCAACATGCTCACAAGATAAAACGGTAAGACTATTTCTGAATTACCCTTTTTGTGTACATCCTTGTTAAATTCTAAAATGTTATCATTTAATTTGGTTTGTCAGCAGTACCATTCCTTAAAATAGATATTGTACATCCATTCCACTCAATATATTGACGTTACTTTTATTGTCAATCTAGTGGTGTTAGTTTTCAAATCTCTACAATGGCATTTATGAACTTTGATAAGACATTAATTTATCTTTGCCACTCTCAACCCAAATAAGACACATGTGAATAGATACCCAATAGAAACAAATTTCTTGAATCTTTTAGCACTTTAACAAGGAAATAAGGTTGCAGCCTCGGTAATATTACATTACTTCAATAGAAATAATTTTATAAATGGTGAAAATCAAAGTGATGATATGTAATTATGAATACTTGACTTTCATGAAATATTTATGATTGGTTTATGCCTTTATACTCCTTTTATTGTTGGAACCTGCATATTCTAAAAGCTTTTGAGAGTTAATATCCAAAGAGACCATTTGTTCACCTCTGACAATTTCTCTGAATACTCGGACAGATGATACATTGATACAAAATAGATTAATGTCCCAGAAGTCCCATAAGTTTTGGAACCAATACTAAATCTGGGGCTTATCGAGGAAACACATTGTGTGCAGTACGTTTAGAGAGTTTAATATAATTGCATGCAGATGTTTTGAAAAGGAAACCAAGCAGTGGGCGAGCAACGTACAAAATTAGAGCAACTATACATGGATGGAGCAGTACAATCTAAACATACAGTTTACCTACACAACAATATTTCTTACTAGTTAGTTCCTATTTCTACAAGGAAATCATTTGTTATTACATATCGGGGAAGAACATTATATGGACCCTTTGGAACCTTTGTCCATATGTACAATGTGCTATATTTCATATATGAATTAAATTTATTATTAATACCTTGTTTCCTTGTTTGAATGTATACAGATCAAAATATGGGATCTTCCAGAGGGAGGGTTTGCAGATGGTTTAACAGGCCCTGTGTGTTCATTCCAAGGTGGAGAGCGGAGAGTAGAGAATGTGCTGTTCCACCCCACAGCCAAGGATCTCTTGACTGCTTCAGTTTATACCACAGTGAAAATCTATGATTTGACTCAGGAAGAGGAAGCATTAGGTAGGAAATGAGATCAAACTCTTTCAATTCTTCTGTTTTTCATTTTAATGAACAAAAAATTGTTAATCTGCATGGTATGACCATGGAAGTGATTCAAAGCAGGGAGGTGTTCAAAGCAATTGCATTGGAATGATATTGGGATATAGGGATATTGTCAAGCCTGTTGAGAACAAGAACAACAACACTAACCACATGAACAATAATAATAATAATAATAATAATCACCAGTATCATCATCAAATTAGCACTTTGGGTAATTCTTCTAAAGATTCATTAGCTAATTAGCCCCTTAAAGGTATCGTTTAACAATGTTTCCAGTTTTACAAATCTGAGATGCATAGCCCTACATGTTAATTTATCAGTGCCCGTGATATGGTGTAATATCGAAGCCCTAAACAAATTGGGCTTCAAAATGATCATGAAGTGCTTTAAAAAAGTAAAAACCTTTGAGTGACCGGTTTTACCATACTCGTTTTCTCCAATAGACTGTAGTGTTATGAAAACCGTTTGGCAAACGCAAAATTTGATTTCGATTTTCAATCATAAATATCTTGATAATCAGACAGGCAATCGGCTTGTAAAAGTCATGGGGTTCCTGACTAACATAAAGGTTTATAATTATCATTGCAGCATGAGCTAAATCAAGGATTTTTTTTGAAGGATCTAAGACAAAGTTACCAGATCCCTTTAATGAACAAAAACATTTTAATCTGTGTGTATGACCATGGATGTGATTTAAAGTAATCGCATCGGAATGATGTTGGGAACTGGAAAAGAATGATTAATGTTCATATTTATACATGTCAAGCCTGTTAAGGCAGAGTTATTAGCAAATGAACAAAAGATTTTAAAGTGCATTGAATAAAAAATAAGGGAAATGAAGCTAGGAAGAAGGAAACTGTTTGTAACCCATCTGGTATAAGACTTTTACATTATATCATATATTATATATTAGACTTACGGTATTATACATCATTGTCGACAAACTATAATGAACCTAAAGTGTTCTGTTTAATGTCCATGAACATGTATGTAAAGAGTGAGTTGAGATACTTATACATAACAATAATGATGATGATAATGATGATAATAACAATATGAATATATTGATAATGATATTTATAATATTAATAATAATAATATCAATAATAATAATAATATTAATAAACAAATACTTATAAGACCAACAATGATAATTATCATTGTCATCATCAAATTAGCACTTTGGGTAATTCTTCTAAAGATTCATTAGCTAACTAGCCCCTCTAGACTGAGTCACATACATGCAAGAGATCATGTAAACAAAATATGAATGTGATAGCCTACAACATGCAGCTTAATTGTTCTATTGTAGTCTTTTCCATGCCATTAATGTGTGGTTAATTAACGTGTGGCCCAAAACCTAGCATACCTAATAATATGTACCACACTAGACCCCTAGCCCCTTTCTTTTACGAAACACATTTCACACACATTACTGAACTTCACCATCGTATACTTCAGACGTGGAAGTGTGCCTCATAGAACTGGAATTTGATTGAAATGATTCAGAGCCCTTTGTTGTACTCCAGCCAACAGTCTGTTCCATAAATAGTGTATGACTCACCCTATATGCATGACCTGAATAGCCCATCATACTTAACACACATGTTGGTAATTAATATCTCAGTGTTATGATTATAGTCAATACCAGGAGTACTTTATTTTATTGTTTTTTTCCTAATTGACATTTCCTGTACGGATTGCAACTCAATTTTATTTATTTATTTATTTATTTTTATTTTTTATTATTATTATTTTATTTATTTATTTTTATTTATTTATTTATTTATTTATTTATTTTTTTTTTTGGGGGGGGGGGGGGGGGGGTGGAATACTTTTGTCTATTTTTTACCGAAACATATTGAATCTATGTGAAATGTTGCTAAAATTATCCCTTAAAGGAGCTTATGGTGATGACTTATTGATGTCATAAACAACACCTGTTTGTAATAAAGGTAGGGCCCCTTTTCTGTTGATTACGTTGTATTGCATGCATGTCATAGAGATATACTTGAACATGTGTTTGAGTCAGTCATTGGAGTAATGGCAGAAATAAGATATCAAATCAAAACAAATATATGTAATCTTGTGTCAATCATTAAAGAGCATGCCAGCTAGAATATGCTGTTTCAAAATATCGTTGTAAATTGTGATTAATATAACTTGAGAGTTGAGATTTGACTTGATTCACTTCATCATTTTGTTTTCTTTTTTGGGGGGGGGGCAGGGTAAAAAGAAAGCAATCAACAATAATATGTTCAACATATATCTATATAACTATATGACTATATAACTATATAGCTATATACATTATATTATATAAATATATTAATTGTTTCTTTTTGAGAAGTACATGTAAGTATATCCCATTTTATCATGTAATGATTAATTATTTTGTTGTTGTTAACAGCTGTTGAAGTAGCTGAGGACCAGCTCCAAGGCATCAGTTGGAAGCTTGATGGAACCCTCCTGGCAACCACCTCCAAAGATAAGAAGATTAGGATAGTGGATCCGAGAGCTAATAGTGTCACCTCGGTAAGTCTACACTTCATCTTTTCTCAACCCAAGTCAGTCATCCACTTCGGCGCAGTCCTTAAAAAATTATCTAAGATAGAGAGTGGGTGAGGGAGAGAGAGAGAGAAAGAGAAAATAAAGAAATATAGACAGAGATAGAGAGAGAGAGTGGGTGAGGGAAAGAGAGAGAGAAAGAGAAAATAAAGAAATATAGACAGAGATAGAGAGAGAGAGTGGGTGAGGGAGAGAGAGAGAGAAAGAGAAAATAAAGAAATATAGACAGAGATAGAGAGAGAGAGTGGGTGAGGGAAAGAGAGAGAGAAAGAGAAAATAAAGAAATATAGACAGAGATAGAGAGAGAGAGTGGGTGAGGGAGAGAGAGAGAGAAAGAGAAAATAAAGAAATATAGACAGAGATAGAGAGAGAGAGTGGGTGAGGGAAAGAGAGAGAGAAAGAGAAAATAAAGAAATATAGACAGAGATAGAGAGAGAGAGAGTGGGTGAGGGAGAGAGAGAGAGAAAGAGAAAATAAAGAAATATAGACAGAGATAGAGAGAGAGAGAGTGGGTGAGGGAGAGAGAGAGAGAAAGAGAAAATAAAGAAATATAGACAGAGATAGAGAGAGAGAGTGGGTGAGGGAAAGAGAGAGAGAAAGAGAAAATAAAGAAATATAGACAGAGATAGAGAGAGAGAGAGTGGGTGAGGGAGAGAGAGAGAGAAAGAGAAAATAAAGAAATATAGACAGAGATAGAGAGAGAGAGTGGGTGAGGGAGAGAGAGAGAGAAAGAGAAAATAAAGAAATATAGACAGAGATAGAGAGAGAGAGTGGGTGAGGGAAAGAGAGAGAAAGAGAAAATAAAGAAATATAGACAGAGATAGAGAGAGAGAGTGGGTGAGGGAGAGAGAGAGAGAAAGAGAAAATAAAGAAATATAGACAGAGATAGAGAGAGAGAGTGGGTGAGGGAAAGAGAGAGAGAAAGAGAAAATAAAGAAATATAGACAGAGATAGAGAGAGAGAGAGTGGGGGGAGAGAGAGAGAGAGAGAGAAAGAGAAAATAAAGAATATAGACAGAGATAGAGAGAGAGAGAGAGTGGGTGAGGGAGAGAGAGAGAGAAAGAGAAAATAAAGAAATATAGACAGAGATAGAGAGAGAGAGAGTGGGTGAGGGAGAGAGAGAGAGAAAGAGAAAATAAAGAAATATAGACAGAGATAGAGAGAGAGAGAGTGGGTGAGGGAGAGAGAGAGAGAAAGAGAAAATAAAGAAATATAGACAGAGATAGAGAGAGAGAGAGTGGGTGAGGGAGAGAGAGAGAGAGAAAGAGAAAATAAAGAAATATAGACAGAGATAGAGAGAGAGAGTGGGTGAGGGAAAGAGAGAGAGAAAGAGAAAATAAAGAAATATAGACAGAGATAGAGAGAGAGTGGGTGAGGGAAAGAGAGAGAGAGAAAGAGAAAATAAAGAAATATAGACAGAGATAGAGAGAGAGAGTGGGTGAGGGAGAGAGAGAGAGAAAGAGAAAATAAAGAAATATAGACAGAGATAGAGAGAGAGAGTGGGTGAGGGAGAGAGAGAGAGAAAGAGAAAATAAAGAAATATAGACAGAGATAGAGAGAGAGAGAGTGGGTGAGGGAGAGAGAGAGAAAGAGAAAATAAAGAAATATAGACAGAGATAGAGAGAGAGAGTGGGTGAGGGAGAGAGAGAGGGAAAGAGAAAATAAAGAAATATAGACAGAGATAGAGAGAGAGAGTGGGTGAGGGAGAGAGAGAGGGAAAGAGAAAATAAAGAAATATAGACAGAGATAGAGAGAGAGAGTGGGTGAGGGAGAGAGAGAGGGAAAGAGAAAATAAAGAAATATAGACAGAGATAGAGAGAGAGAGTGGGTGAGGGAGAGAGAGAGAGAAAGAGAAAATAAAGAAATATAGACAGAGATAGAGAGAGAGAGTGGGTGAGGGAGAGAGAGAGGGAAAGAGAAAATAAAGAAATATAGACAGAGATAGAGAGAGAGAGTGGGTGAGGGAGAGAGAGAGAGAAAGAGAAAATAAAGAAATATAGACAGAGATAGAGAGAGAGAGTGGGTGAGGGAGAGAGAGAGGGAAAGAGTGAAGGAGGGAGAGAGAGAGAGTGAAGAAGGGAGAGAGAGAGAGAGAGAGAGAGAGAGAGAAGCTGGAATAAAGATAGAGGACTTCTCTGATAGTTGAACATCTTTGCCCCTTTTCTGACAGTTTTGGTTTCACTTTTGCTCAAATAATTCACCTCCATGTGCTGCAGGATGTCATCAATCATTTATTATTTAATTGATTGCTGAGAGCCAGAATGATGATACCTTGAATTTGTTTCCACAGAATAAATGTCCTGTCTCTAAACAGAAAATAAAGTCCTCAATCTGTCCTCAGTCTGTCAGTGAGAGAAGCATTTTACAGTTTTAAATCTTCTATTGGTTTGTATAAAGAGACTCATAATGATCAATTTGAAGTGAGACCTGTGCAGTACACCAGGGACTTGTCATATGAATTTACTGTGAATCCTCTAATTAATCGCAACTTGTAAAATTATGTCTCTTTGGTACAGAGTTGTGATTGATTTCTAGCTTTGACCGATTAGAATCAATCGCATCTGTTAATATGAAGAGGTTCAGGTGTATCTACAGCCCTGCAGAGATCAGTATTACTCTTAATGAAGTACATGCACAAATGTGGAGTTAAGCTAAATACACAATTGTACCTTACTACCTTTAATTGCTACAGCTAGACAATACTAATAAATGCTATTTAGTTTAGAGAGCACTCAAATTATCACTCCAAAGTAGTACCATAGATTTTCGTACCGTTATTTATTGTCTTCTTAATGATTTCTACGATCATTTACATTTGGTTTATATTTCCTGTATCTGTTCTTTCACTCTTTAGGAAACACAAGGACACGACGACATTCGTGATTCCCGTGTATGCTGGCTTGGGGATAGGGACCACATTCTCTCGACTGGCTTCAACAGTGTAAGTGTGCCCCTCAGAATAATGTAGATTACATGAATTTTTTTTAAAGCAATAGGTAAAATATTTGAAATATGCTGTAATCATAATGAAAAAAAAAGATCATTACTCTCGAGTCTGGTAATCATTGCCATGCTGTAGTTAAATATGAACATTTTCTGTTCCTTGTTTGAAGGAAATTTACATCTGTTGGCTTTTTTCCTAGCCTTTGTAAAACTGTTCTGAAGATATAAGAAAATGTAACAGAAAGTTAATCTTGGGAATGCTATCATTTAGATGTGAATTCAATAATTGTATTGTAAACTGTGGATGATATATCAATACTTGTTAATTTGTTTTCTTCAATCAGCGGAGAGCGAGGCAAGTGAAGGTTTACGATACGCGTAAATTTGGAACAGCGTGTTGCTCTGCGGACATGGGAACAGCAACTGGGTAAGATTCATGCCTCACCTCTCAACCCCCTCTCCCACCCCCTTCCTCACCCCCTCTCAACCCCCTCTCCCACCCCCTACTACACACCTCTCACCCCCCCCCCCCTCTCCACACCTCTCTGATCTTCTCAATGTACCTTTTGTGTAACTTTTGTAGGAAATTAATAAGCATCTATCATAAAGTTCTTCTTGTCATGTTTATATCATTATTTATGGACCTAGGTGAACTAAGTGAAAGAGTTGTTGATTAATGTATCATCATACAAAATATCAATGTTTAGACAGTATATCAAGTTTATATTATAATGAACATAATCATGCATTGAGAAGAGGTGATGACACAGAAGGGCTACAACCCAAGCGTAGCTTCATATGCTTGCAGCCCACAAACACTGGTATTTTTTAGGCTGACATGTATTCTTATACTTCACATTTTATTTGTACTGTTATTTTACCTTAAATGCTAAGATGCAAAAAATATGAAGAAGCAATCAGAGGACCTAGGGTTCTGTGTCCTATCCAATAAAATTTGGCAATCAAGGCTTTTAAAGGGATCCGGTTACTTTGTCTCAGATTCTGAAACAAAATTCTGGATTTAGCTCATGCTGCAATGATAATTATAAACCTTTAGGTCAGTCAGGAACCCCATGAATTTTACAAGCCGATCGCCTGTCTGATTTCAAGATATTTATGATTGGAATTACAAATTTTGAAAACCGTTTGCCAAATGGTTTTCATAACACTACAGTCTATTGGGGAAAACGAGTATGGTAAAACCGGTCACTCCAAGATTTTTACTTTTTTGAGGCACTTCTTGATCATTTTGAAGCGCAATTTTTTTAGGGCTTCAATATTACACCATATCACAGACACTGATAACATGTAGGGCCGTGTATCTCAGATTTTACATTGTTAAACGTTCCCTTTAATAGGTTACCAAGGACACTTCTTCCACCATTATATAATTTGCATGTAACATATTGGTGTTATTACTATTTTCACAGAACGATGATGCCATTGTATGATCCTGACACTCAACTTGTCTTCCTGTGTGGAAAGGTAGGAATACCTCAAGCAATCATGTATTATCATCCAATTTAGGCATGTTATGTTTCCAATAGACTCATGATATGTACATGTTTCATTCATGAGCCCTTCTAGATAACTGATGTTTAGTTGCTGATTTTAATTAATCCCAATTAGACATTGATTTGATTTTAATAGCATCTCCTAAAGGCTTGTTTACATATACTACGGTAAAACATCGCTGTTTACTGAAGGTTTTGTTAAGCATACAGAGCTGAAACTTTTTATATCTTAAAACATACATTTGAGTGACTACATACATGTAGGACCATCATATAGTTACACGCTATTACTTTTCATCCTCACTTGCCATTAATTTAGTACTCAAAAAAAGTTTACTGCTGCATATGTAAATTAGCCTTAGCTAGTTGTAAAATACTTTTGCGGACAATAATTACTTTGCCATTGATTTGAGGGTTTCAATTTGGATCAAAACTCTTTACAACAACGGAGCCTTGATTACATTTACCAATATTTTGTTGAAATATAATCATCCATGATCCATGATTATAAAAGATAACAGAAAAATGTCTGAGTTAGGTATCATATGAGGGATTGTAACACACATAACGATGATCAATTGTTTATTTACTTATAACAGTCTTAGGTCTCTGCATTGAAGTCTTTTTTTTGTAAGGTAACAGTATTTCTTTATCTTTATTTATTTATTTGTTTTGTGCAGGGTGATCAGAGGATAGGAATTTTTGAAGTTTTGGATGGAGGAGCCAGAATCTCTGATTGTAAGAATCGTTTTTCTTCTATTTCATCTTTTTAAAAATTTGTTTGTTTCTTTCTTTCTTTATTGGGGGTGGGGTTGATGGTTTGTTGAAATCCATCCTTCTTATAATCTGATATGAACAAGAAATATGAAAGGTTTATGTTGTATTCTTTGGTACCACATATAGCAGAAATCAACAGCAAGAGAGAAAATGTCTTGTTCTTACGATAAATGTTATATCCCAGTATAAAAGAAATATGTGAATGATTAAATGCTGATTATAGGGTATCACATAAAGCAGCAAAAGGGAGTAAGTCTCATTCCGAGAATACCTTGTATCTCAGTAGGAAACAGATGTGTGAATGATTTGATTCCTATTATAAGGTACCGCATAAAGTAACAGAAGGAAACATGTCTCGTTCCTAGAATACCTTTCTATCCCAATTTTAAAGAGAATTATGGATGATTCATTCATTTATCAATGGGTTTTACATACTAGTACATCATTGGTCAGGAGAAAAAGGGAACATGTCTCCTTCCCAATAAGATAAACAATATCCCATGTTTTGTCCATAGGTACCACATACAGCAGTGATCAGCAGCAGAAGGGAATATGTCTCGTTCCCAAGAAAGTCTTAGATGTGATGTCGTGTGAGGTCGGTAGACTTCTGCAGCTCACCAAACAAGGCATCATTCCTCTCAAAGTAGAAGTGCCTCGAACAGTGAGTACGATCCAGGGCCCCGTTTCATCAAACTGTTATCAGTAGCAACTGCTACATTTCTATGAAAAATCTGCTCTCGGCCAATCAAATGCCACTATTTCAGTAGCTTATAAAAGTTATTGTAACTTGTTATTGATAACAAGTTATGAAACAGGGCCCAGAGGTGAATTAGTTTAAGGGAGTTAGTCTATTTAGTTAGTCTAGTTAGTTAGTCTATTTATTTAGTCTATTTAGTTAGTTTAGTTAGTTAGTCAATTTAGTTAGTTAGTCTATTTATTTAGTCTATTTAGTTAGTTTAGTTAGTTAGTCTATTTAGTTAGTTTAGTTAGTTGGTCTATTTAGTTAGTCTAGTTAGTTAGTCTAGTTGCTTAGTTAGCTAATCAAGTGGCAGTTGGTCTAGTATATGAATCAAGTGGCAGTTGGTCTAGTATATGAATCAACAACAACAGTCTAATCAGAAGTTTGCTACTCTCAGTCTTAATTTGGGTGATTTGTTGTTTACTGCAGCAACTAGTTTGTACTAGTTTGTATTCCGTGAGAGATATACGTTTAGTGCTTTTGGTTGTGATTGGGTTTTTTAATAGGTCTTGGGTTAAAGTTAGGTTTAATCCATTGTCTACGGGAACCAGGTGGTCCCTGTGTTACGTGTATGGGAATGAGAAAATTTAGTATCCAAGGGGTTAATATTTAGGGTACAGAGCAATTGTTGCCTAAATATGAGTCGTACAATCCCATTTATGTGCTTCCTCTTCACTGAATCTTTCTGAATAATTCTCCTAATTTCAAACTTTGCCTGTTTTTCTTGACAGAGTCATCTGAACTTTTACCCAGAGTTGTTCCCAGAGACAGCAGGAGATGAGCCAGCGTTGTCATCGACCCAGTGGCTTGCCGGAGAGAATGCACAAGTAAGACTCTTTTAGTATGATCAGCTCTCTGTCTTCACCTACAAACTAGTCCAGGCAGACCCTGGTTCAAACCTGAGTCATGTCTTTTGGATGGTGACATTAAATGTCGGACCCCAGGCGTAAATAATCATATCTGTTTGATACACATCTGTAAAAACCCAATGTCACACACACACACACATAAGCATGGGTTCTCATTTGGGAATTTGAGTATGCGTGTACCAGAGTTTTACTAAATGAACATTGTTGCATTCAGCATGGAACAGTGACATTGATAGTAAATAAGAAAGAAAAAAAGTATATAGCATAACCAGACTTTAGCCAACATTTGATCTGGATTAATAGGTAGAGAATGCAGGGTTAAGACCTCTTAGGCGAGGCGTCAAAAATTTCGATACCAGCAGGCTGCCGCCTCACATATTGGCGCATCGAGGCTGCAATTACGGCCGAAGCCTGGCTGGGGCAATTATTTTTCACTTATTAGCCCAGCCGGCTTGCGCCAGGCCGGGATCTGAGGCTCGGTTTCCATTCGAAAGGCGGCAGTCGGCGCATGCTTTTGAATGCCATTTCCTACCGCCAGCGGTAGCCGGCTGAGCTAATTTTAAAAATGCAGCCAGGACGCACAAGTGCAGTTAGCTGCCGCTGGCTGGTATATTTATTTTTGACGCCTCGCCTTAGAAGGGTTGTTCACATGTTGTAAACACACACGAGCAGTGACATTGATAGCAACAAGAATAAGGGGGGATTTTTTGTTAATGTGTACCACAATTTAGATTTCAGCCAATATTTGATCAGGATATTGGCTCAGAAACATCAATGTGTATTCAATTATCAATATGAAATATAATTAGATAGTAGTACTACGTTGAGCCCATGTTGGACCAACATTGTTTAATTTGTTGGCCGATGTTGCAACTGACTTGCCAACATTTTGTTGTTGTTGGTACATTGGAACCAAGATTGACTTGGCTACCCAACTGCTACTGTGCAGACCATTGGGATCATTGTCTTAACTTACTATTGCTTTACTGGGCATTTATGATCTTAATTGTAAGGTTGTTGTTTTATTCTTTGACTTTTTAATCAAAGGTTGCCAAATTTAGTCTTGATCCAGCCAAGAGGAAGAATATGAAGCCCAAGAAACCAGCCAATCAGGATGCACCTGGGTCTGCTTCGTCCAATCAGACACAAGCAGGAGGAGATGCTCCATCAATACAAACAGAGGTGAGAATAATATGAGAAATAAGATGAAATTACATTGTGTCCTATATGGTTTATCCTTCTGTATCCAACTCTCTCTCCGCCCCCCCCCCCCTCTCTCTCTCTCTCTTCCCCTCACTCTATCGACCCTCCTTCCCTCTCCATCTCACATTCTCACCCCTCCTTCCCTCTTTTTTTTCTCCCAGCCTCTGTCAGTCTCCCTTCCTCCTTCTTCTCTCTCTCTCTCCACCCTCTGTCTCCCCTCCCTCTTTTCACTTCTTGATCTGATCATTTGTTTATTTCTTCATTATGAAGCTTTGAAATGATTTTGTAGAAAATTATAGAAGCACATTCATATGGGTTCAGAGGGTTATCTTTTAATGGATACCATTTCTTTGTTATATTGATTTGTTTTTTCAACTGGTCATATTGAACTTGGTAAATTCCAATCGACATACAACTTTAATGATCATGAACTCCAATATTTTGGGGCTCAAAGTCAGGTATAACCTGTTATAAGATGATGACCTGGATCCCAATCAAATAATTGGTTGAAAGGGTACACGTGACCAGGCATTTATTTTGCCTAACGCATAATGTGAATAATGACCGGTCATTATCCAATTCTAATGACCGGTCATTAGTAAATTCATGTTATAAAACATCATTTTATATAACAAATAAAACATAATCTTATAAAATAAATAATACACAGCATTTTGTTCGGCCATTAGTAAAATTACCCACACTCGGTACCTTCAAAACAGTCCAAAGGTACCTTGTGTTGGTAATTCTTACTAATGCCCTCACTGCTGTGTATTATTTGTAACCAATCCTATTTTGGAGGAATTATTCCTATTTTGAGGTCTTTAGGCTACTGTTTCTAACCCTAGGTTTCTCTCTCTTTTTCTGAAACATTATGTGTGAACAGTATACCAAATAAACTGTATTGCTAATTTTGCCTCGAGAAATTCCTAATTTTTGCTGTGAGAGGTTAGCAGGTATGATTAAATGTGCAACTTTAGACTCTTATATCTGTAGAAGTCATTGTGAATGGTGACTGGCTTTACAGTAGAAAACCAGATTAAGTCTGATATCTCATTATCTGTGGCCCTATCACTCTGCTCTCCCTAGGATGCCAAACCCGATGAGTCGCCATCATCAGCTACACCGGCCCCACCCGCCTCTTCCAGCACATCAGCTGCCATGGCAACTGCATCGTCATCATCATCATCATCATCAGCTCCAGCATCCTCCTCTACAGCGAAAGCTTCCAGCGCTGCTTCAGTCTCAAGAACTGAGAACGCATCACCCAAGAAGAAATTCACCATGGCAAAGACATCAAAGTTTAAGCATTTACAGGTGAGCAGGCGCATTGTCATCAGTTTTAGAGATATGAATATCAAGCAAAGAATTGCAATGAGATTTGCAATTTGAAGCTTTTGTGCTGTAAACTTGACAAGCTTGGCTTCCATCTATTATTCGTGGACAGAGTTTGCTCTGATGCTCCAATCCCCCCCCCCCCCAACTCCACTCCAGTGTGCAGAAAAGCCAAACCTGTCATAGTGGTCACCTCTCTATAAAAGCTCCCTGTGTATAGTGGCCATTGAATTTTGTCTCCCTCATGAAGAATAGGTAGTGCAAAGTAGAACCTGTATAGAAGGGTGTCTACAGGAGCTTCTTTGGTATCTGCAAACCTCTTAGGGACGGTATTCTGTATTAAATGCCTTGTGTAAACCCAGACTTATTATTCCATTATTTTATTTCTGCTCTATTTTCCTTGGTTGGCCTCAATATGCAGGTTTGACTAATCATAATGCTGCTCGTGCTAGAACAGAATGATTAAAAATGTGTCACATTAGCATCTAAGACATTTAAAATTTGTGTAAATATTGTTGAAACAAGCATGTTGCAAAATTTAGTAAAATCAGTAAACACGCATGCATATGGTTATATGTAGTTGATACATGCCTGAAAAATCGTAAAGTTTGGTATATATGTTTCTATTTAATTTTTTCATTTTTCATTTTTCATTTTTTTTTTTTTTGGGGGGGGGGGGGGTAATTTCCATCCAATTTTTGGTAGTTTTAGCAAAGTCTTAGTTTTAGTGTTACCTAAAATTAATAGACGATAACAACATTTGTTTCTGATATAACACTCATATCCATTATGCTGTGACGCTCATGGGGCTTAGACATTATAAACCCGTTACAGCATAGCTGCCAAATATAACTGGCACTTGAGCATATCAGGGCCCCGTCTTTATACAAAGAGTTCATATCAATCGCAACTTGGAGACTGAAAACTTGCGATTGATAGGAGAACTTACGATTGATATGGGTCAATCGCAACTCTTTGTAAGACGGGGTCCAGTTATTCATTTACGCATGGGTGGAGATCTAAAATTAAACTTAAACTGTGAAATCTGTTGTTGTAGGGAACCCTTGGGCAGAGGAAAGATCACATCTTCAACATCCGGAATGCCAGCATCAACGTGTTTGGAGAAAGTGATGGTTTCCATGCCAACAAGAAGTGGGCGGCTGTCCCTCTTGCTGGCAGCGGAGGTCTCATTACCATCATCGATGTAAGTAGTCTTAGTTTCATTCTCATAAACCAGGCCGACCGTGAAGCTTGGAGTCTGGATTCATTTTCTCTCACCCAATTTCAGCATGCGAGACAAGAATATATAGATTTTGAGTCAAATTTGAACTTGTCTTAAAAACCTGGCTTGTGCAGGTCAGAAAGATAGATAGAATTTCACTTTTTACACTAGGTGAATGTGTACAAAGTCAATGCAAAATCTATTCTGTTGTCTCATAAGTAGAACTTTACTGGGGCATTAGAACCAGATTTTTTTTTTTTTGTGATTGGACTCTGGTTTAAAAGGCTTGCTATTAATGAATGGAAAGAAGTCATGACTTGCCATTGTTACGATTTATACCGGTAGCCAACCAAGGAATAGGCCTCTTGATTGTGTATAAGATCAATATTTTGTATCTCGTGCTATTAGAGCTGTATCTTAGGCAGAATATTTAAGGCTTTGAGACGTGCAATTACAAAAGGGTTGACATATTTACCCTGTTTTATAATTCTTCAATGTCAACTTTGTAATAAGAATATCTATGGATAATTTTTTTTCTATGTCAAACTTTTCATTCTGTTTCCTGACATTCTACATTTCTGTTTCTTACTTGTTATTCAATCTTCCTTTTCTTATTTCTCATTTCTCCTCCTGTCAGTTTAATCTAAAATATTGAAATTTTAATTAATATGTTTGTTTTTTTAGATGCAAATTCACTGGAATATCCAACTCTAAAAAATCTTGAATGTCTCTCATGTAGACTGGTGAACCTCTCTCATCTCTGTTATTCGCTACAGATAAACAAACCAGGCAAGCTTCCTGAGACGGGGGTACCCACCGTTCAGAACGGTTCCACCATGATGGACTTTTGCTGGGATCCTTTTAATGACTGCAGACTGGCCGTTGCTTGTGACGATGCTAAGATCCGTGTCTGGAGCTTCCCTGAGGAGGGCTTCGAAGGAACACTGACCGAACCAGACGTCTTCCTCTTAGGTCAGTCGCCAGGGGGCCACTTACTCAAAATTTCTTAATTTATTTTGTCTATGTTCCTTGCTGTAATCCTACTTGAAGAGATCCATCATCCATTAATAATACAGTCAAAATCTGCTATAGTGACCACCTGTCTACAAAGGCCCCTTTTTTTTTATTTCCTTGAAAATGGTTTCTCATTAAAACATGTACTGAAGGAGCCTGTCTACAAAGACCACTTTTTGTCTTTCCCTGTTATAGACAGGTTTTTACTGTATTAAAAATTCTATCCTGGGGGCAAGATTGCTCAGTGGTAGAGCAGTGGTCTTGTAACTGAGAGATCCCAAGTTAAAAATCAAGTCAATATACCAGTGCCGTTTGGAAACGCATTAATCCTAATTTCTAAGTTTCTGGGAGAGGACTGAAAGCCATCTGTCCCCTGTGGCTGGTGGCTTTCATACAAACATACACATGCTTTATTAGGTGAAAACAAACCATCAAATCTTCTTCAGTGAGGATATTATCACATAAATTGGAGGTGACTAAACATTATTTTAATTTTTATGGTACATGTAGGATTCTGAGCTGTTATTGCAACTTCAAATGGCGTCTTCTGTATTGAAAAAAATGCATGTAAAAATTTAAGGTCAAATCTGGCCCCTGCAATATAAATCTTAGCGATTGATTAAATGATAATTGACTGTACATTGCTTTCAAATGTAAAATTGCCATCCCTTCATCGCTAACTTATATTATTGTTAAAGTGTGCTCCAAATAAAGTGATTTGCCTAACACCACAGTTAAATCAGACTTGATTGTAACTGTTTAAAATTAGGATATATCTTTCCTCACATTTTTTTTTATTACTGTTCTTTAAAAATTGACTTTTTAATGAGTGTTATCACCGATGTTTAACCTTCTAGGACATCAAGAGAAAATCTACTTCATAAAATTTCATCCCCTGGCGAGTGACGTTCTTCTATCAGCGTCGTTCGACATGTTCCTGAAAGTCTGGGACCTGACAACGGGAGAGGAAATATTATCCTTAGAGGGGCATACAGATCAAGTAAGGATTGTGTGGTGCAGTGTTGTGTTGTGTGATGTGGTGTGGTGTGGTGTGGTGGGGTGTGGTGTGGTGTGATGCTTGTGTTATATGGTGTTGTGTAATGTGGTGTGTTGTGTTGTGTTATGTTGTGTTTTTTCATGTTGTATTGTGTTGTGTCGTGTTGTGTTAAATTGTGTTGTGAAAAGTAATGTTAAGAAATGCTCGTTTGAATCTCGTGTACAGCATCATACAATTTAATCTCAAAATACTCTTCTTCTTTTTTTCTTCTCACTTCTCTAGAGCAAAGTCAGAAAGCAAAATGAATTAGAATGGGGGCATAATAGATAGATAGATAGATAGATAGATAAATGGATTTTATTAAGATCTTTGTGTCTGGCAGTTAAAAACTGAAATGAACATGAATTTCAATGACAATTTCCAAATAACATTAACATAATAACATAATAATGCACTGTGAATTAAGAGAATTGATTGATAAGAAATAATCACCCATAATTAAGCACATTATGATGTATGATTATGTATTTCACTTTTTATATTTTGAATGATCTAGATATTCAGCGCAGCCTGGAGTCCTGATGGAAAGAGAATAGCCACAGTCTGCAAAGATGGTTTGATCAGGATATACGAACCAAGGTCATCAAACACACCTGTCGCTGTAAGTAGAAAGGGATAGTTATGGGCAAGTCTAAGGTATTGGGTCAACTGGTGTCTCTTACATGACCAAATATTGCAGAGTTCTGGGCCTTGTTTCATGAAACTTGTAATCAATAACAAGTAACAATAACTGTTATTAGCTAATGAAATTATTGCATTTGAAACTGTCTTTCATCACATGATTTACTTTTGATCAATCGTAGAACAAGATTCTCAGTATGTGGAATAGAAATGATTTTATCCAATTGACATTGGTTATCTTGTTAATTGTTCTTAGCAAGGACCAGGTCCAGAGGGCTCAAGGGGTGCTAGAATATTCTGGGTCCACAACGGAGAGCTGCTCGCCGTTTCCGGCTTCGAGAAGTAAGCAAAGAGACTTGTGTTTTGAAGACTTACGTTGTAGCGCCTTTCAAATGTTAGAAAATGTCCATTGTTGAAATAAAAGAAATAGATGACTTGTATATCATTGGAAAGCTTTGATATAATCCATAGATTGCAATGATATAATTATATGCTATTTTAGTGTCTTTCAGAGGAGTAACAGTTCTCCAAAAACTCGAAATCCAAAGCTTTGAAAATCAGAAGGTTTCAACCTAAAAACTATTCAATGACATCATCTTATTTTTGAGTATGCATATTCATAATGTCTAATCGCCCCAGCTATATAGGCGAACCGTTCGATCCTCATGTTATGTCGTAGCAGTTAATGGGGCAAATTCGCCCCTTTGTATAGAGGGGTCGATCAGCTGAGTCAGGCCTAGTCTCAAGGAAATCACTGTCGATATCAGAGACTGAAGCTTTTGGTTTAAATACTAATCTGCTCTAGCAGGACTGTAAACTGTTATGTGTAATGCAGCACATTTAAGCTTGTCAAAACATGATGATAATAATAATATTGGTTTCTTGTATAGCGCTCATATCTGTCAGACTTGACAACTCCTTGTGCTCCTGATAATTACCCCAGCTTTAACACAGCTGCCATTACAGCGCTCCATCATTTCAAGGAATTAATTCCTGCCAGGTACCCATTTACATCACCCGGGTTGAGTGTGGCAAATGTAGATCAATGTCTTTCCAAAGGATATTAGTGCCGTGGCGGGACTCGAATCGCGGACCTTGTGATCGACAGTCCGGTGACGTATCTACACGACACCCCTACAATATCAATACAGATTGTCCATTTCTTCTTTATTCTTAGGGATTCCGCCAGGACTGTGTCGTTGCACGATCCAAAGGATCTCACTGAAGCCTTGCAAACATTAGTCATTGATAAGGCCAATCCGGCCACACTGATACCGTGCTACGACCCCGATACACATGTAGTCTTTATGACTGGCAAGGTATGTGAAGATGATTCTTTTAGCAGTGTGTTGTTTGTTTCATTTGAAGGAGTTGTGTTGTGATAAATTAAGTTCATCATGATCCCTAATGACATCCCCACTTTTGTTGTGAGAACATAAAATGAAATTGACAAATCAGCAATTATGATTAAAATTGTACATTTTAGATCATTTGTGGTCGGAATATCAACTTAACAAACTGATTTGATAATCAGTTTTGATATTCAATTTCAATTAAATATATCAGATATCAGATGCCATAACACTTTGAATACATTTCTTTTTGTGAATTATGAGATTTTAGTGAAATATTTATGTTATAAAAAAGTAGTTATGCAGTGTTTGCATGTAATAGCTAACTTTTTTTCCTTCAAAATACTAATATTTCTATATTCCACGCAAACATATCATCTTTGTATTCATACTTTGTAAAAGCTTAGATACATGTGAATATACTACATATAATCTCCTGTTATGTTTTATTCTTATGTATAAAATACCTTTGATATATAAATGTTTTCATCTTTCGCTTGCTCAAAGAGTAGCTATTCTGGGCAATGGTTTGAGTTTACTAAATTGATATTCTGTACAATCATAACAGAAAGCAAGCAAACTTCAATGTTCACATCTTTTCTTGTTCACTTTATATTCCTAATCTACCGCAGGGAGAGCGTTTAGTAACGTGTATAGAAGTTTTGAAGGAGGCCCCCTACTTCATGCCTCTGTCCAACTATGCATCGCCCGAGTCACATCAAGTAAGTGTCCAAAGAAAAGACAAAAATCAGAGATAAGATAAAAATCAGAGCAATTGTATGGAAAAGATAGTGATTTGGGAATCAATACCGAGTGCAATGATAATTGTTTTTATTCTATTTGCTGTTGGGGTATTTTGTGGCCCCAAGTTTTCATCCTCATTTCTGCTTTTTTTCTTCATTGGGTTTCTAACAGGATGAACTAGAACTCAGTCCGACTTTAAACAAATGCTAGCCACTGGACACAGGGGGCCTTTTTAGACTGCAACACACATTTTTTTCCTGTGATGCAATATAGCTCTTCTCTTCTCTTCCACCAGGCCCTCTCGTTTCTACCCAAGACGTGCTGTAGGATCAAAGACGTTGAGTTCATGAGAGCTCTAAAGCTCTCCAAGACAACACTGGAAACTATCCACTTTACACTGCCCAGGGTTAAGGTAAGGACAGTAAGACTTCAGTATGATAATAATATTTAATTTTTATATAGCGCTTAATACAAATGTCTCTAAGCGCTTTACAAATATACTATTACCCCGGTCATTGGATTTAGTGCTTGCCCGCACACACTGTGTGCACAATCTCCACTCCCTGGGGAGCATTCCAGCTGGGCGTTACTTGACACTCACAAGCTGTTTGACCAACAATGACGGTCGCATCCTACCAGGTACCCATTTAACGCCTGGGTGGAGAGTAGCAAGTGCAGGTTAATATCTTGCCAAAGGATATTAGTGCCGTGTCAGGATTCGAACCCTCGACCTTCACATCTCCAGTCAAGTGCCTTAAACCACTCGACCACGACACTCCCATAATGTACAGGTGTTGTGGTCTAGTGGACTAGTCACCGGACTGTGAATCGTAGGGTGTGGGGTTGAAACCCTTGCCACTGCGTCCTTTGGCAAGACATTAATCTACATTTGCCATACTCAACCCAGGTGAGGTAAATGGGTACCCGGCAGCAATTTATTCCTTAAGATGCTAGAGCGCCATAACGACAGCTGTGCTACAGCCTCTGTAATAATTGTGGAGCCACAGGATTTTGAAATCTGACAAACATGGGCACTACATACAAGAACCCACTATTGTTATTATTTTTATTATCATTATTGTTATTATAGTAAGGCACGGTTAAAAATAGTCTTGGTATTTTTGTAGTGGAACATATAATGATATTTCTATTATGCTGTCAGATGCAAGGCCCACTTTATTGTGTGTGTGTTTGTGTGTTTGTGCTTTGTTGTAACAATCCAATAGGTTTACTACATGAACTTATTATGCTCAAGGTGAACCAATGAGTCTTCCTAAAAATAAACTTGCACTATTTGCGTTTCTTTGAACACTTGGTTTAGTACCTCTGTTTCTTTATTGAGGAGAAGTGTTCTTACTTCACAGGTGTATACAAAAAATGATGATTTTTATGTCTCAGCGACACTGCCAGACCAACTCCAACTCGACTGATTACCGACAAGATTTATTCAGGGTAGTGGAGTTTTTGTGTGGTCTGCTGTAGCTCACGATTGTTCTTAATGATGTGACTTGAATAGTTCATTTTGTTATTGACTTACTTACTTGACTCAAGTGCACAGGACGGAGTGTCCCCTTGCGCTCCTACGGATGGTCTACCTCCATTCATTTCTGTCCTGGGCTTGGTGTTGGGCAGCCTCCAGGCTTAATCCAGAGTCTTGGCGAATTTGGTCTTTCCACCTCAGGGGAGGACATCCTGGTGGCCGTGGCGATGTAAAGTCATTGGTGTGGACTTGTATTGGTAGGCGTTCCTGTGGCATACGTACCACATGTCCAAACCATTTCAGGCGGCGGTTGGATATTTCCTCATTTTGTTATGCCATTTCTTTATTAGCACTGGTTTACTTTTTTGTTCATTAAAGATGTACCTTTCTAATTTTCCCTTTATTTGTAGAAAGAGTACTTTCAAGATGATGCCTTTCCCGATACTAAAGTGACATGGGAACCGGTTTCGACTGGTGCTGACTGGTTTAGTGGCAAGAATGGAGAAGCCAGAACTATGAACCTTTGTCCAGAAGGAATGAAATATTGTAAGTTTTACTTTTCTACTCTCCCTCTCTGTTTCTGTTTCTGTCCCCTCTCTCTCTCTCTCTCTCTCTCTCTGTCCCCTCTCTCTCTCTCTCTCCAATCAATCCAATCTGGGAATTTGTTCAGCACCAATATCTAGTAGCCTAATCAAGGGCACTGATTAGACTTGAAAAAGATACTGCAGTGAAAAAAAAATCACTAGTTTTAAGCAATGTGGAATAGGTATTCTTAAGTTGAGTTTTGAAAGTACCAGTAGATAGCAGCCTCTCTCTCTGTCTGTCTCTCTCTGTCTCTGTCTCTGTCTCTCTCCCTGCCTCATTCTGCACTTCTCTAAATAAGGTATTCAGTGCTTTATAAATGTTGCATATTATTATTATTATTATTATTATTAATTTTCTTTCTTGCTACAGTGAGCTCGATACCCAAGGCTGGACCCCCGCCCAAGAAATACTCCAGTGAACAAGAGCTTACCTATAAGACCGATGCAGAGAAGAGAGAAGAGGTAAATACATTTCCCTTTTTTACCCATATAAAGGCCTGTTCACATATAGCGCTGTAAAACACAGTGGTTTTTGTGTACTAAATGAATGGCAAGTAGGGATGAAAGTAGCTGTGTGCGACAAGGTCCTACATGCACCCTCTTATCTGTGTGTTGTAAGATACAAAAATATGATATGCAGTATGTTTAAATAAGCTTTAACAAAAAAGAAGAAAAAAGACCTGAGGTTGACACCTATAGTTTACATAAGCCTCTACACTGTCATTGGATAAATGTAGAGAAGACACATATAATTGTAGACGTCTTTACTGTCCCGCTTGGTTCCGGATAGGGCATTGATCTAGAAGAAGAGGGAGAAGAAGACAAAGAAAAAGTAGGAGAAGAAAAAGGGGAAGAAGAAGAAGGAGGAGGAGGAGGAGGAAAAGAAGTTGGAGATCATACCTGAAAAAGAAGAATTTACTTTTCTACAGCACTTAATACAAGAGTTTCTGAACAATTTACACAAAATCTGTTCTCAAAAGATTTTCGTATAAATGGATAATCACTCAATTTTTATCTTTATTTTAATCTTCAGATTATGTCTTCCATGAATACCAAGCTATCCTTGAAGTCTGAACCTTTACCTCAGGATAAATTTGAAGGTGTTGATGATGATGAATGGGTAAGTAGAAGACTGTTTGTTCGTATTTGTTCCATAGACTATAATTCTCTATATCTACTTCACTTTGTTCTCATCTATCCTACATTACTGCTCAGGGCTGCGTCTCACGAGTTGAGCGACATCTCATTGAAATGTGTGTTAAACTTAATACACGCATTTCAATGGGATGTCGCTCAACTTGTACTAATGACGGTTTCGTGAGACGCAGCCCAGGACTACATATAGTTTGTTTTGTTTGGAATTAATGGTATTTCTTTGTTTTTGATTTTTCTACGTAGAGTTACTTATACAGGAGTTTTCTTTGGTTGAAATATTGTTTTCTTATATGTAGGTGCACAATGACTTTCAATTCGTCTAACATTAGTCCCCTGTAGAGCTAGACTACATCTCGGTAATCTTGTCAATACACCTGTCCAATTCCATTATCAATTCAAATACCTTATTTGCCGGCGTAAGGCCGCAGTATTTTCAGAAGAAAAAAATTCCAAAAGTCTGGATACGGACTTTGCGCAACAACTAACAATGAAGCGGTCAAACCAGCACATCCGTTCAGACATATAGGACTACAATGACTATACAATGGTACAGGATATTTCTAGTACAACTCCACACATCTTACCGACAATTTTATGTTGCATTGTTGACATGAAGACTAAAAAATAATAATAATAAATAATAATAATAATAAATAATCTACCGGTAGATCTAGATCTAAGTACATGCCATTGCATCGCTAAATAGTAAAAGAAAGGGACTTACCGTTATGGATCTAGCTGCCACGCAATGCAACTGCGCAAGTGCGCATCCAGCTGAAGTCGCGATTTTGTATTACACTGCACATCGTGGTAGGGGTAAATGTAGGATACCAAATCTGCCTGCGATACAGTACTAGCTTAAAAATCGATGAAGATTTGCTATTTGGGGAGACAGACCCAAGTCCACATTATCCGACTGGTCCCTTGTTGATCACGATCACGTTGACTGGCCACTTACCCAAGTCCACATTATCCCACTGGTCCCTTGTTGATCACAATCACGTTAACTGGCCACAGACCCAAGCCCACATTATCCGACTGGTCCCTTGTTGATCACGACTTTGACGGGCCACAGACCCAAGCCCACATTATCCGACTGGTCCCTTGTTGATCACGATCATGTTGACTGGCCACAGACCAAAGCCCACATTATACTTGCTCCAACGATCCTCTTGATTTCTTGCAATTACCATCTGGCACATGTACATCATCTATCACCATACCATGCCATAGATCTACAATTCAGTTGTCGACTGCCAATAGATGTGTCTCGAAAGCTTTAATTTTGAACTCTTGACTGTATGTTCCTTCCTTAGCTTATTTCTTTACTCCTGACTATTATCAGTTTGTCAAAAAATGTAAGATTTTTGCATAGTTTAGTAACTTGTAAACTCACTATAAATGATTTTGGCACTTTGGAATGTCACAATGCACCCCTATATTAAAAAAGGCAAGTACTGTTGATGACTATATAGCACAGATAAAACTGAATTTCGTTTTGCACCAATATAATAAAGACATGCACAATGAAATCAGGCTTCGCTAAAGAGTCTTTGGTAACAATATGCTTTGGTTGTAAATCTGTTTACCTTCAAGTTCTACTCAAACTACAATAAAAGAAATGACAATTTAATTAAATTGAATTGAATTGACATTTATTTCCACCATCATGACAATATATACAAAGATAAAATATGGAATTTCATAACAGATAACAATATCAAAATTTCATACAAATTGATGTAATAGCATCCTAAATGTAAAGCATATATGAAAGTATGAACCATATAGTACAAATGGAAAATGGTGCATCCCGCATAAAAGCCAATAAGGCTTGACAATTGAATGCACCAGGCTGACAATGATAGCCACAATATAACAACAAATAATTAAATGGTTAAGAACTGGATTAACTACTACCTCTATGGTGGACAATATCAAGTGTCACTGAATTCAAAAGTATACTGTGGATGAAAAATATATCAAACAACCTTATCAAAACATGTAAATCATTATTAAAGATTAAATGACTAGTCCTGATTAAAACTCATATCACTGAAATGAATCAGTCCATGATAGCCAGATTTTGCACAGTGATCTTAGTCTTTTATTTTTTTTCGAATCTGCATGATCTGTGCCTCTGCTGCCAAATAGATATAAAGTTCAAATATAGTCCAGTTCTCATTTGTATACTTGATTGTTGATTTCACTTGAGTTCTTCCAGTGTTTTCTTCCTTTTTAATAAACTGGCTTGTTCGCATTTCAACGTAATCCTCTGTCATTGAGTAATGATTTCATACTTTTTCTACAACAATTAATATGTGAATGAGTAACAGGGTAGACTGTCTGTTACTCTAACTATACCAGAGGATTATTCTGCCTCTTGGATAGCACAGTTTTCCTACTTAAACACTAAATAATAGTTGAAGACACTAGCTACATGCATATATAACTATGTAACTAATATGAGTGAAGGGGTGGACTACCCAACACTCCAACAGGACAAAAGGAGATTATTCTGCCCCTTTTAACTTGTACAGTTTACTACATGTATTTGCAAATCTAACATAACAGGGCGTCTTTGTACTCTCAGAGCTAGGGTAGTAACGTTCACTCTCTTAAGAAGATGGTTTACTTTCACTGGGGCTTCTTGGCGATGTCATGTCTCGCGAGTTGGTTGTAGCTTCTGCTGCGAATTTGCTGTCTTTGTAGTCATTGACAGATAAGCTTTGTTCACGTCGTGGTCGCTTCTGAAGATGACGTGTATTTTGACGATAGCGACTCCCTCCTTCACTTTCGATGATGTTTGAGCGAGGGAATTTGTCTTTCTCGATGGTGATCGCTGTTTTCCACACCTTACCATTTTGGCTCAACAGGTTGCAAAGGTGACAGATATTTGGATCCTCTATCATAGAACTGCTTATGACGTTCTTGCAGAAACTCAAAAACTCAAAAACAATTTTGCAACACCCATTTCAATCCTCAGCTCCGCCCGGTGGAGCCCTGTGCCCTCCAGCTGCTCCGTTCACTGACAATTTGAGGGACTAGCCCAGTCAGCACATGATTCACAGGAGCTCTAGCATCCGAGGCCACCAGGCCCCACAAGGGCAGCCAATGAGACTAAAGGGTGATAACTAATTGGTTCAAGCTCTCAAGTTCTTTTCTTAGTTCTTTCTCGGCCCCATCCAAATTTGTTCCTTTGTCTGATCTCCCTTCTCTGACTGCTCCTCTTTGAGCAATAAATCGCCCGATTGCAGCGATACAAGAATTTGTATCTAGTGAGTCAGCCTTCTCGATGGTCGCAGTCTGTCTATGGGTAGGTTGCCGTCTTCTGTTCGATTACCCGCCCTCTCTGACTTCGGCACTTGACACATTTCCTGACAACTTTCCTAATGGCTGAAATAGCATTACCATATAATATCGTTGTTGGAGTTTTGCCAAGACATATTTTCTTCCCATATGTCCAGGGTTTTCATGAATCTGCCTCAAGATGAGTTCAGACACATGTCCTCTCTTTGGTAGGATGGCTGGATGTTTTGTTTCTTCAGGCTAGGCTGCTTTGTTCAGTCTACCTCCTACTCTTATTTGACTATTGTCCATCTGAGGGTCTAATTTGTAGATAGGGCTTGATTTTCTGACCCCTGGCTGCAACTTTCCTGTCCGTTGGTTGATATCATGTGCCTGTTTCCTCAAAACCACAACCTCTACTGGGAACGCTTTGTCTTGGGTGGTCTCTTAACGTTTCCATCTTCCCATCTTAACAGCCTTAAGAAATCTCCGTCTTCTTCTGGCACCACAACTTGGGAAAACATCCCTTCTATGTCTGACGTGAGGGCGACCTTTCCCTCTCTGAATCTTATGATTACTCCGACCAGGTTGTTGGCCAAATCCGGCCGCTTTATCAGCTGCTGGTTTAGAGAGGTTCCTTTGTATTGAGCTGAGTAGTCATACACCACCCTTAACTTGTCCTTTTGTGGATGCATGACTGCGTGATGAGGTAGGTACCACATCCTTCCAGTTGTAGCCTGTAACTCATGATTTGGTACTCTTTTCTGCATAGCCTTTATGTAAGTATATCTCCAAACAGTCCTAATACTTCTCATAGAATTCTGGCTGCTTCTTGAACTTCCTTTGCAGATGGTTGAGTCTCTGCTCTGCCATGGGCCTGTTGTTGGGCAGGTCAACGTTTCCCTTGAAGGCAGTCCAATTTGGTAGTGCCCTGGTCTTAGCTTGATGGATCCTTCAACCTTTTCCATATTTGTTAATCCTCTTTGGATTCTTCAACTTTATCTTCCATCAAGCATTCTGAAAACTTGGTGTTGTACAGATTGTTTAGCTGTTGCTGAATATCTTTCATCACGTGGACTCGGTGGGAAGATTTCCTCCTTCTGTTTGTCCTTCCAAGATTCCTCCTTCTGTTTGTCCTTCCAAGCTTTCCTCTTTCTGTTTGTCCTTCCAAGCTTTTCTCCTTCTGTTTGTCCTTCCAAGCTTTTCTCCTTCTGTTTGTCCTTTCAAGCTTTCCTCCTTCTGTTTGTCCTTCCAAGATTCCTCCTTCTGTTTGTCCTTCCAAGCTTTCCTCCTTCCGTTTGTCCTTTCAAGCTTTCCTTCTCCTGTCTGTCCTTCCAAGCTTTCCTCCTTCTGTCTGTCCTTCCAAGCTTTCTTTCTTCTTCCTGTTAGCTCCAACGCCATCATTAGTACGTTGTTTCTCTGATTCACCATTCTCTTTCACTTGTTTCAAAGGTGTCCAATCTCTATGAAGGAGGGTGGGGTGTAACCTTTGACAGATCTTGCAGGTCATCCTTTGTTTACAATCCCTGGCAAGATGTGAAGACTGAAGGCAAGCGAGGCACAGCCCTTTGGATTTGCAAAATGCAAATTTCTCTTCATTAGGTTTCTTTCCCAGGACCTTGCATTCTGCTGGAGGGTGATTTTCTTTGTCACAACAGAGACACCCTTGCTCATCTTCATGCTGGAGCTGAAGCTCTGTTTCTTTCTTGGAAGGGTTGTGTCTTTGTCTGTGTTTCTCCAGCTCTGGCAGATCCTCCAATATTACCATAGATGGGGTTGTTTATTATTCGGGCCTGTTTACTGATGAAGCTAACCACATCTATGAATGAGAGTGGCTCATCCCGATTCTGAAGTACGCCATCGACAAAGCTCCTCCATCTTTGTCGCAGCCTGAATGGCAGCTTCGATATGACCATCTTCAAATGTTGTGCGTGGTCAATCTCCTGTTGAAGGTGTAGGTCTTTAGCCAAATTGCCTAGCTCAGTCACAAACAATGAATAACTAAGCAGACCCTCAGGATCCTCACCTCTAATGTTAGGCCATGCCATTACCTTGTTGATCTTGGAGTCCAGAACATGATGCTTGTCACCAAACTTGCTTTCTAGCAGTGCTGTTGCTTTGTTGAATGCTGCCTTGGAATCACCTCTATACATGCAACTTCTGACTATCTCATTCGCCTTTCCCCTGGTATATTGTTCCAAGTAATATAGCTTGTCAGAGTCCTCTAATGTCTTCGACTCTACTACATTCTGAAAGGCCCTCTTAAAGGCGTGGTAGTTTAGCGGATTCCCATCAAAAGGCTGAATGATCCTTTGTGGTAGAGCGGCATTGTGGCATTCTAACAGCATGTATGCAAGTTGAGTTTGTTGTCGTTGCAGCTCTACCCAGTCAACATGACTATCAGGGTTTGTTCCACTTAATACTCCTACATCTCACTCTTGTTCTTGGTTCTTGCATCCTTGTGTTGATTTGTCTTCTGAACAATCCGCATTCTTGACTTTGGGACTTAATCTTGTTTGCCTCCTGTCACTTTCATGAAAAGCGCCATATAAGAAATGGTTATTATTATTATTATTGCACGAGCAAAGGTTGGTACTTCAGGTTTCTGGTGAACAGCTACTGAATCTTCAAACTGTTGTAATGCTGCTGCTTGGGCTGTAGTTGTAGCTAATTCTGTCTCAATAGCAAATTCCTCCTTTCTTCTGATTAATTCCTGCTCTTCTCTCTCGAGCTCATGTTTCCTTTTTAGACTCCCCAACTTTACCACCAATTCTGCTGTCTTCATGGCTTGTTCCCGTTTCCTGGAATCTGATGTTGATTTACTTGATGCTTGAGATTCACTGTCATCTGCTTCAACCCTCTCCATTGCTGAATATCTGCCTGCGTTCACAATGAAGAGGAGCAAACAATTGGGTCAATTTCCATTCATGGATTTGCTCATGTAGTAATGGGTCAATCTGAATACCGGTAGCTGGATCTTGTTTATCCTGTCCTTCCAACATTGTCCTCCATACGTGGCGTAAATCAAAGAGGCTTGAAAATGTTCTGTCTGAAACTCTGCTGCTAGCAGCCTCTGACCATTGGATTCAGCACTAAAGCAAACTTCTACTACAGTACTTCTTCAAGGCTTGAGTCCAAATTGGTGAAGCTTAGCTAGCCTTCTGTAAGAGCAGTTGACATATTTTCCATTCTTTGCAATATCCAGCCATCAAAAGGTCAAATAATGTTGACTAAGAAACATCAATCCAGTCTCTCCGGTTCTCATCAATATTACTTATTATAAGCCCAAATTCAGCATTGTTGAAATTGATGAGTAAAATACTGTCATTTTGTAAAATAATTTCACAGCAGTATGATCTCCATTAAGTCCTGTGGCTGAATGCTCCTATGGTTCAACGAGCCAAAGGCTAGGAATAATCAATATCCATTCTCGTTAAATGATCCATTCCTGGTTAATTCCTGTGAATGCTTGCTTTGTCCACTTAAATCAACCATAACATCTGGGCATCCAATGTAACCTGTGACTGTTACTGTACCTTTACATCTCAAGTAGATAGTTCAGAATTCCTTTAAGGCTTTAAAACAGATTCTTGAATGCTAATCAGTCTCTTTAAAACTTTAGGCCTTCCTCTGTTAACTTGAGAAAGACAGATTTTTAACCTAGACTGTTGGTGCAAAATGTCTTCGAGTTAGTCTAACATTTGTTCAATCTCGTGTTTCTTATGTCAAATTGATCAGAATGCTATAATACAATGATCCTATCAATTCCTACTGTTGTCCGAGAAAAACAAGAACAAAATAGCGGAATTTGAAGTAGGGAGAAGAGGTTAAAATTTGACTTATTTCCCAGGGTTACTGCCAGTGATTTTCTCCCCCTTTTTCTATACTTTATTGAATTTCAAGTTGGACAAGAGATAATACTAATAATAATATTTAGCTTTTATATAGCGCTTAATACAATGTCTCTAAGTGCTTTACAAATATACTATTACCCCGGTCATTGGATTCAGTGCTTGGCACTCTTACATTAGTTTGGCATCTACAGTATATTATTATTTTGTATGTACATGTATAACATGTTTCGCTTGGTATTTTCTCTAAATGTAAATTGTGCATTTACTGTTTTGCCTTTTCCTTTCTTTGTCCAGGATGATTAAAAGGAGTCTCACTGAAACAGACAGGTGGACAAGATTTTGACATCCTGTTATAGTATGCAGATGATGAGTACCGGTAGTGCGCAACAGGGTGAGAGAGATTAAGTGCAACCTCAAACCTGATACAGTTTTGAAATTTGTAAAGATGGTCATTTGCGCTGAAATCAATGCATGCTACTTAACCTGTCAATAGGAGAACAACTTTCTGTACCGTGTGCTACAAAATATGAGACTATCACATACATTTATAGGAATATATTTTCATCTTTCTGTAAGCATACATTTTTAGAAGGTTTAGACCAGGCCTTCTCAACTGAATTATTAGAAGTGTCAAAACTAAAAGAATTTGTTGTTGAAGTGGCAACCTGTATGTTTGACTGTGCTGCGAGGAGCATAGCAACCGAGCCGAAAATCGGCGGGGTCCAGGGCCAAAGCCTCTTCGAGGATGAAGGGGGCAGAGCCCCCTGAAGCTGTAGTGGCTATCTTTAAAGGCCCATAGATGTGGCATTTTCAACATCTTTTTATTCCAAAATATATCAATCGTAATTTCATATTGATGTGAACAAATTAGTACAATTCCTTCGTACAATTACAGTTGAGGTAAATTTGAATGTAGTTATTTTGGTGCAATAAACACAGGAAATGTCAAAATTAAGTGATAAATCAAACAAACAAAAGCAAGATGTTTCCAGAGATTGGCAATGTTAAAATTAGTAGCACATCGTATTAGCTTATAGTTCTTTAGAGCTCAGGTTTATAGTCTTATAACATGGTTAAAACAATGTTAAATTCCCCTTACCGCAAGTGCAACAAGTGGCGCAAGCACCGCCAGTTGAGAAAGTCTGGTTTAGACTTTGAATATTGTTGAGCTTTTGGTAGTTAATATCCAGCCTTGACTCTTTTTTAGTGCACAAAAGATTACCAATGAATCATTAATTACAGTGCCATTTAAATGCAAATGCCTATTAGCATCACATCAAGGATACATAACGTATCCATGAATCCTCCCGTTACAAATTAATTCCCATTTTTTAAAAGGCTGTAAATGTTATTATATCCCCAAACTTCATAATGTGCTGGTCACATCTTCAAAGCCTTAAGATGTCAAAATATACCATCTGATTAATGAACTTGTACCCTTGGCAACAAATTAATTACAAAGAAGCATTTGTTTAATATCAGTCATTATAACCAGAGAGTTTAACATACCGGTACTTGTTTGAAGATGGGTTTTGTTCTATGTAACAGTCATTTTTTATTTTTGTTTAAACATGCCAAACTAAAAGTATGAGTGTGCAGCTCAAGAATCCTGCCATTTTGTTAACAAGTCTGATTATTGCCATGTGTATCACATGACTGACCACCTGATATCTGCCTCTATTTTTTCCATTTAAAGCATTAAACCTGATATTTGTTTGAACTGACAATATTTTCTGTTCTTCCACTTAAAGGGATCTGGTATTAAACTTAGTCTTAGATCCTTTAGAAATAATCCTTAATTTAGCTCATGCTGCATTGATAATTATAAACCTTAAGGTCAGTCAGGAACTCCATGACTTTTACAAGACGATCGCCTGTCTGATTATCAAGATGTTAATGATTGGAATTACGAATGTTGAAAACAGTTCGCCGAATGGTTTTCAAAACACTAAAGTCTATTGGGGTAAACGAGTATGGTAAAACCGGTCACTCAAAGATTTTTACTTTTTTGAGGCACTTCTTGAGCATTTTGAAGCGTGATTTTTTAGGGCTTCAATATTACACCATATCACAGACACTGGTAACATGTAGGACCGTGTATCTCATATTTAACATTGTTAAACGATCCCTTTAACCTTCTTTCAGAGATTTCAATAACTATAACCCTAAATTGGTCAATTTGGAAAAGGCATTGAATTCAAGAAAATTGATACTCATTATAATAAATTGAGCAGCATGCACCGGTATCAAGTATTTGTGCTACAATGATCGATTTGACAGTTTTCATTATAATTTATCAGTGATATGTGACTGGTTATTGATTGAGGTACACTACACTTGAGAAAATTGTTAATGAGAACATGCCTCTGTATATGTGTGTGCATTCACTGCATTAATACTCATTTCCACAATCTGTTTCTTTGTTCTTTCATTATATTCCATCTTGGAAGAAAATGAATCAGTTTTACATTTGATAAAAGTTTTAATTTTAACATCGTAATTCCTGTAGCCTTTGAATTTGTCTATACATTACATATATGTTTTAAGCGTTGATCAAAACAAGGTTTCTCATTGATATTTTATGCTTGGTCATTATGAAATGATGAGAACAATTTGTAATCTTTCTAGATATTTTATATGTTCTTCTGAACAGTATGTTGATGATCAACTTGCTTTCAAGAGTGAAGATGATGACTTGCATTGTAAATGTTTTTGGAGAATTATATGTTGTTTGTTATAACATTCTTATAACTGTGAACTTGATAAATTTTACTCTATTGGTGCCACAGAGAGATAAATTCCTTCTGATATTTTGCTGAGGTCGTCTGTGAAAGAAGAAGTGAATCGTATTGTCTTTATTTTTGTAAAACAACAACAAAAACACAATAGTTGTGTGTTGAGTAATATAATTTGAATGTAAGTTTGTCCAGTTTTTCTAACATATTGTGATGTTGGTATATTGGTAAGATTTAAAGATTTAAATCCATGAAAATACATTGATAATTTGATATTTTAATCACCCATGAGAGATGGATACTTTTTTCTCAATTGTGATAGTTTCAAATATTGAATATGAACTGAGGAGGAATGTGTTTTGAAATGTCTCTAGTGTTTTAAAATGTCATTATGCATTAATGTAATGACAGATTTCATCAATTTTGAGATGTCGTGCAAAGTTATACAGGTGTTTCTTCTTCAGTTGATATGAGCTGCATTAACTTTTGTTAGATTTAAAAGCGACACATCAAAATAACACCCCATATTTTTTCTTTCTGAAATATCTCTCAAATGTTTTAATTGGTGGTTTTATGCATTTCATTTCAATAAGTAATTTCAGTCACTTGGTTACAGAATCTGAAAAGAATGGAAAATATTTTGTAATACCGATTACGGAACTTTGACATCACATTTTTATTCCAATTATGTGCCCCCATTTTCTTTCCCCATTGGCAATAAAGTTGGAATATGTGCACTTCTATTCTCGTTGTTGGCGGAAATCCCATAGAAATCCAATAGAAAAGCGTGTTCATTCTATAACACATGTTTCAATGGGATGTCCAAGAAGTTAGACTTATGACGGTTTCAAGTAACTGCTCTCTGATATAAAAAACAATAGAAAAGGAACTGAACACATGGCATTACTGACTGTTGAAAGCCAAAAGGACATTCATTATGTGTGAAAGTATTTTGCTGTTTTGGTTTTATACGTGTATGTTGTTTTCTTTCAGTTCAGTATTAAGGTTTGTAACATGTTGATTTTTGTATTGGTTACAAATCATGTATCTCTTTCATTTCTTTCCATGATATCATTTCCATTTTTATTGAACTCAGTTTTCATCTGACTGTACATGTTAAATTATTATTCATATTTCATTCTTTATCTTTGAAGTTTTTACTTAAGTGAATTTGTTCAACGATATATTGGAGTTAGATGGTGACAGGACATAAGTTGCATGATACTTGTATCATATTATACTCTTTCATTGATATAAAAAAAAAAAATTGTTCAAGAGGTGATTTTTTATTTTAAAAAACAAACATAACGAATATTATCCATATCTATTCTTAGTGATTAAGGATTAAATTTCACATTCTAATCAAGGAAATATGTAAATTCAGGAAAAGTATTTTAATAGGTATAATGATGATATTTTGAATATGTAGAGAGTATTAAGTGAGTGGTATGGATGTGGTAGAAATCCACAGGAGGAATCATTGTTGTTCAATGTTGACCATCAAGAGTCCAAGCAATACAATTCTTCTTGTCATTCCAAAAACGGACTTCTTTCAAATGATCTACATTCAACAAAGGACAGATCACACCTGAACGATAAGAATAATGAGACTGTTGCAAAATCGTTGCCTGCTTTTTTTTGTGCAAAATGAATTTTAAATCATTGATTGCATGTTATATGCTAATGAGCCTCCTTGAAAAATATTATCATCTCGTTGGAATAGCTCAGCGAGTGAATTTTCTCAGGACAGACCTCATTGATAATACAGGTATCTGTTGATAATATCTTTTAATATCACATCACTCCTTGGATACGAAGAACTTACTGTCTGTGCCTACATATACAGTGTATGATTGATAGAATCAATAATTTCATAGTTGCCCAAATCATTTAGGTGGGACCATTTTTATTGTTAACCTTATCAATGCATTTAGTTGTATTTGCATTTGTTTATTCTTCTTTATCATTCATTTTGGACCATGCAACCCTTTACGCTGACATTGTTATAATCAGTAGACCTCAAATGTACTATATGATGTTGTAAAGAAAGATTGGGAACATTTCTTTGATTTCCCAAGTGGTAAAGAGTATATATTTTTGGAAATGTACATGTATATATTTGACATATACTGTACATTTAATGTGAATTGTTATGTGTTTGATAAATCATTTGTTGTTGGGAATGATATGATTTGTTTGTGTGTGTTCTACGCACTATACGCAATGAGGGCCGGCAGCATGATAATTATGAACAATAAAGTTTTGACATTTTCACCTTTAATGAATGTTGAACAATGATTTATTTTTGGGGGGCCACACTCGATGATTGGGACAAGTGCGCCAAACACACCCAACCACACGAACACATCCTTCACAATTATTGTAAGATTGTAACCCCTGAGCAATTTGAAGTGCGATATAATAGGGATTAAAGGTAAAGACCAGTTATGGTCATGCGATTGCATTGTGAAAGAAACGTTGTGGAATCGATCAGAAAAGGTTGATCATCTAGCATCTAGCATCTGCAAGGTTCTGGAATCATCAAAATGATAAGAAATTTGGCCCATTCTTCGTAAAGTTACAAGCACTATACACAAAAAGATGTATATGGGACTACCCTATATCTCTCACAGACCATGAGAGAAACAAATTTACCAAATATATGAATTAGTAGGCGGTTTCCCGGCAAATTTTTTATCATCATGTATTAGTCAAAACATATTCTTTCACATGATTGGTAATGAGAGCTCTCATTTCATTTTTTGAAATTGGGGCGTTTCCAATACTGGTCTTTACCTTTAACATTTAATTGACAATGTAAAATTAATCAAATTGCGCTTCTGATCTATAATTCACAATGTAAGAATTATTTCAAAAGAGTAGCAATATAACATAAACCTGTACACTTCCAAATGGGTCTAATGCCCAGCCATCAAAAATCCTTTCTTTGAAAAAATTCAAAAGGCGGAGTCAAAATCTAGAAAAATACCCATAAACGCGTAAAACGGCGTGTAATTCAGGTTTTTGAAAAAAAAGTACTCTTTTTCTTAAAAATGGCCCAAAATGAATGTTTTTTAACCCCTTCACGCCACATCATGTTGACTGCCTCCATGAAATCTTTAAAAAAAACACCCCTTTATACATGTTTTCTTGGTTGTGGATATTTTGACCGAGACCCCTGAGCCGGATCCAGCCGACTTTGCGTTTTACACCCTGGCCTGGACCTTTTCCCAATAAATTTCAAGGAACCGACTGGGAAAAGTCTATCCATGACAAGATATTGCGCGCGCACGTAGCTCTTCTGCAATGCTCAACGTACGTCCTATATGTCCAGCGTCGCGGTACATGTATCGAGACGTACGAGTGAGAGAAAAACAACGAATAACAACAGAAGGAAATAGAGAAAAACAATAAATAATTAAAGAACAGAGAGGAAACAAAGAATGTCATAAGCAGAGAGAGAAAACAAAAACTAACTTGAAAGAAAGAGAGAAATTAGAGAAGGAACTAGATTTGTAATACTTGTTTGGAACAAGTATAGGTGGGCTGATCCAACTAAAATTTGAGAAAAAATCAAGGGCATATTTGAAATATCTTATTGTCTCAGCTACAACATACTCGAAGTTCAACGTAAACGAAGCTAAAACGACGGAGATATTGCTCGCGAAAGACGGAAATGTAGAACCCAGTTTTGAGAAAAAGTAATGTTCCATAGAGAATACACGCAAAATGTGAAAAATTGACATGCCTCCTTTAATCGCAAAAATACGCCACGATGCCTTTGTCAAAATGAAAAATAATAGCAACAACATTTGTAGGAAATGGTCTCAGCTAGAACATATCAAAATTTGAAAGTAAATCGATCGATATTTACAGAGATACAATCAATTTTCCGTAAATATGCTGACGTCATAATATGCAAATTGAAATTTTGAGTTTGGAGGCCATTATGATGACGTCATGAGTTAATTAAGGGTCAAATGAGACATGAAATCGTATCTCCAATTCATACTCTATTAAAAGATGAAAAGAAATTGGGGTCACCTTGCATCCTAAAGAGCTACAATGGATTTTGTATAGGCATGTTTTTGCCCATATATGCTATGTATTACAAGAGCTCGCGCGCACTGAAATTAATGTTAAACGGTCGATTATTCCGTTATTAATAGTCATAAAGAGACAAACATGGTATCAATTTGTTTGTAAAAATATGTGGAATATTATGAAAGAAAAAAAATGGCGATTCTATGTTGTGCAATAGTTTTACGCGCGAAAACGCGCACGCATGTGCGTGTGCGCGACTTTTTATAAAGTGCGCGATTTTTTATGAAATGCTTAGAATGGCCTAAAACGTATGCAAAATGATTTTGAGACGATTTTGAGCATTTCAAAATTTTGCGCGCGCATTGACGCGCGGACGTACGCGCACGCGCGCGTTATTTGACCTGAAATTGACCGGACGGATATTGACCTCGATCATGATAAATATGAAAGAGAAATAGCTTTTGGTTATGAAGATATGATCATGAGTTAATTTTCGTAACATTTTACAAAATGGCGCCTAGATGACGTCATCAGTGAAGGACAATGTTGAAAACGTTATTGTGCCTTGTACATATGCCTTTACATATGTGTGCCAAATTTCAAGGCATTTGATCGAGGCATTTTTAAGTTATCTTGCTAACAAAAAAGTGGTTAGAAATAAGAAAAATATTTAACTAGATTTGTAATACTTGTTTGGAACAAGTATAGGTGGGCTGGTCCAACTAAAACTTAAGACAAAATGAATGGCACATTTGAGATAGCTAATTGTCTCAGCTACAACATACTCGAAGTTCAGCGTAAACGACGCTAAAACGACGGAGATATTGCTCGCAAAAGACGGAAATGTAGAATCCAGTTCTGAGAAAAACTCATGTCCCATAGAGAATACACGCAAAATGTGAACAATTTACATTCCTCCTTTAATCGCAAAATTACGCCATGATGCTTTTGTCAAAATTAAAAATTGTGTACACTGCATTTGTAGAACATTGTCTCAGCTAAAACATATACAATTTTGGAAGAAAATTGATCAATATTAAGAGAGATACTATCAATTTTCCAAAAATATGATGACAACATAATATGCAAATTGAAATTTTGAGTTCGGAGGCCATTATGATGACGTCATGAGTTAATTGAGGGTAAATAAGACATGAAATCATATCTCCAATTTATATTCTATCACAATATGAAAAAATAATTAGGGTGACCTTGCATCGTAAAGAGCTACAATGGATTTTGTGTAGGCATGTTTTTGTCCATATATGCTATGTAATACAAGAGCTCGCACGTGCAGAAATTTATGTTAAACGGTCGATCATTCCGTTATTAATAGTCATAAAGAGACAAACATGGTATAATATTGTTTGTAAAAATATGTGGAATATTATGAAAGAAAAAAATGGCGATTCTATGTTGTGTAATAGTTTTACGCGCGAAAACGCGCGCGCATGCGCGTGTGCGCGATTTTTTATAAAATGCTTAGAATGGCCTAAAACGTATGCAAAATGATTTTGAGACGATTTTGAGCATTTTAAAATTTTGCGCGCGCATTGACGCGCGGAGGTACGCGCATGCGCGCGTAATATGACCTGCCATTGACCGGACGGATATTGACCTTGATCATGATAAATATGAATGAGAAATAACTTTTGGTTATGAAGATATGATCATAAGTTGATTTTCGTAAAATTTTACAAAATGGCGCCTAGATGACGTCATCAGTAATGTTTAATGTTGAAAACGTTATTGTACTTTGTACATATGCCTATACATATGTGTGCTAAATTTCAAGGCTTTTGATTGAGCCATTTTCAAGTTATCCTGCCAACAAAAAGTGGTTAGAAATAAGAAAAATAAATAATAAAAATAAATAAAAAGGCAATTCTAACGAAATTATAAGGTGGTCTGTACGTTATACAGCCCACCTGATAAATAAATAAATAAACTAGATTTGTAATACTTGTTTCGAACAAGTATAGGTGGGCTGATCCAACAAAAATTGAGACAAAATAAAGGGTACATTTGAGATAGCTTTTTGTCTCAGCTACAACATACTCAAAGTTCAGCGTAAATGAAGCTAAAACGACGAAGATATTGCTCGCGAAAGACAGGAATGTAGAATCGAGTTTTGAGAAAAAGTCATGTCCCATAGAGAATACACGGTAAATGTGAAAAATTGACATGCCTCCTTCAATCTCAAAAAAGCCATGATGCCTTTGTCAAAATGAAGAATAATAGCAACTGCATTTGTAGAAAATTGTCTCAGCTAAAACATATCAAAATTTTCCATAAATATGCTGACGTCATAATATGCAAATTGGAATTTTGAGTTCGGAGGCCATTTTGATGACGTCAGAAGTTAATTGAGGGTCAAATGAGACATGAAAAATATCTCCGAATCATACTCTATTAAAATATGAAACAAAATTGGGTCACCTTGCATCCTAAAGAGCTACGATGGATTTTGTATAGGCATGTTTTTGCCAATATATGCTATGTATTACAAGAGCTCGCGCGCACGGAAATTTTTGTTAAACGGTCTATCATTCTGTTATTAATTGTCATAAAGAGACAAACATGGTATCAATTTGTTTGTAAATATATGTGGAATATTATGAAAGAAATAAAATGGCGATTCTATGTTGTGCAATAGTTTTACGCGCGAAAACGCGCACGTATGCGCGTGTGCGCGATTTTTTATAAAATGCTTAGAATGGCCTAAAACGTATGCAAAATGATTTTGAGACGATTTTGAGCATTTCAAAATTTTGCGCGCGCATTGACGCGCGGACGTACGCGCATGCGCGCGTTATTTGACCTGAAATTGACCGGACGGATATTGACCTTGATCATGATAAATATGAATGAAAAATACCTTTTGGTTAAGAAGATATGATCATGAGTTGATTTTCGTAAAATTTTACAAAATGGCGCCTAGATGACGTCATCAGTAAAGGTCAATGTTGAAAACGTTATTGTGCTTTGTACATATGCCTATACATATGTGTGCTAAATTTCAAGGCATTTGATTGAGCCATTTCCAAGTTATCTTGCCAACAAAAAAGTGGTTAGAAATAAGAAATATATAATAATAATAAATAAATAAATAAATAAAGGCAATTCTAACGAAATTATAAGGTGGTCTGTACGTTATACAGCCCACCTGATAATAAATAATAAAGGCAATTCTAACGAATTATAAGGTGGTCTGTACGTTATA